CATCTAAATAAGAGAGTAAAAGAAGTAGTTGAAAGGAAAAAGCAAGAAAGAACGGATGAGAATGATAGAAGAATATCGGATAACTTCCAGGCAATCATTAAAATAATCTGGAAACTCGTAAGAACTACCAGGGGACATTCACAACAGCCTAGAATGAATGCTATACGAGACCAGAATGGTTGTATTCTGAATGACGAAGTTTTGAGTTTAAGGAGATGGAAGGAATACTTTGAAAGCGTGTTTATGAGTGATGAGACGTTTGAATTAAATGAAATAGAAATTCCGAAAGAAGAGGAAATAGATAGAGATATAAGTATAGATGAAATAATGAAAGCAATGAAAAGTATGAAAGCAGGTAAGGCAGCCGGTTATGATAGAGTATCTCTCGAAATGCTAAGGGCTGGAGAAGGAGTGGTGGCAGACCTGCTGTACACCTTGTTTAATTTATGTTGGGAACTTAAGCGGGTACCGGGAGACTGGTGCAAAGCCGTGATAGTCCCAATATATAAGGGAAAAGGATCACAGCAGGACTGTAAAAACTACCGTGGTATCAGCCTTCTTAGCATTGTGGGAAAACTGTATGCTAAGGTACTAATTGAAAGAGTTATGAAAGAAACTGATGGAAAAATTTGGGATGTGCAAGCGGGATTTAGAAAGGGAATGGGATGTACGGATCAGGTCTTTTCCATGCGCATGATCGCGGAGAAGTTTTTGGCCAAAAACCAAAAAGTTTTTTGTGCGTTCATGGACTTGGAGAAGGCTTATGACAGAGTGGACAGGGATGTGTTATGGCAAACACTGAACTCATTTGGGTTGACCACTGGTCTGATACAGGCATTGAAGTCTCTATATAGGGACTCTAGTGCTTGTGTCAGGATCAACGGGGCCTACTCGGACTGGTTTGGCATCCATAAAGGTGTCAGACAGGGCTGTGTGGCTTCCACGTGGTTGTTCAACCTATTTATGGACAGTTGTTTGGAAAATTTGAAAGTAGAAGAATGCGGGTTAAGAATGGGTGAGTTAACCGTCAAATGCCTTTTGTACGCCGATGATCAAGTCATACTTGCATCGTCGGCAGCCGAGTTGCAAATGATGGTTACATTAATGAACAGGACATTAAAAGAAAAGGGAATGAAAGTGAACGCAAGTAAGACGAAAGTTATGGTTTTTGAAAGAGAAGACAGCAAAACGATATGGGAAATAAGAGTAGAAGGGGAGTTGGTAGAGCAAGTAGATGAGTTTGTATATTTGGGATGATGGTAGATATGATAAGGATATAGAACGACGAGTGAATGCAGGAAATAGAGTGAATGGGGCTCTACACTCTATTGTGAAAAGTCAGAATGTGTCCAAAAAGGCACGTATGGCAATTCACAATGCTGTGTTAGTACCTACTTTAATGTATGGTACTAAAAGTTGGGTGTGGCAGAAGAAGCATGAGAGTAGAATAAATGCTGTAGAAATGCGGTCATTAAGGAGTATATTAGGGATGAAGCTGAATGACAGAGTGAGAAATTGTTTAATAAGAGAAGAGTGTGGTTTGCAAGATGATGTTGTGACCAGGATTAAGAAAGGAATGCTTCGGTGGTTTGGCCATGTAGAAAGAATGAATGAGGAAAGAGCGACAAAGCAAATCTATGTTGCAGAGGTGAACGGCATAGTCGGGAAGGGTCGCCCTAGGCGAAAGTTTATCGACCAAATTGGCGATATATTAAAAATGGGCCATATCAAGAGTACCTTTAACCGACGAGCGTGTATGCGTAGGTATATGGATGTGGAGGAAGCGAGAGAGGTGTGTCAGGATCGTGCCAAATGGAAGTCCATAATCTCTGCTTACCCCTCTGGGTGACGGGCGTGAGTGTTTATGTTATTATGTTAAAAGTCTATTAGCGTTAAAGCCTATAGTACAGAACATTCTTTAACATTTATATTAGAAATCCCATCCGTCCAACCTATATTATATGATTATATACACATATATTCCCTGCCAAACAACCTAAACCTAACCATTATACCCAAATCCAAATTCCTCGCACTTGGAAGCGATGAGCCTACCTGGAAGAAGATTGCAAGAAGCTGTCAGAAGATACCTGGCTCTGCAAATCACTGGATACTAGAGCCATAGAGAAATCTGAAGATTGCATCATCTCACTCATCAAGCATAAAGATGGTAACTGCGCATGAATCTGAAGCGAGGAAAATTGCATAAGATCAAAAAAATAAGTGGTTGGTAGTATCAACGGAACCAGAAATTATAAAAACCCAATGCGGACAGAAAACAGAATATAGGAAACTATCAGGAACATTTTTCATCAACCTAACACAGGACTGTCAAGTTAAGATCATGAATACAACAATAAGAACACACACCAGCAGCATCTCGATGGACGAAATCATCCCTCTACCCAACGAGAACCTAATAAACCAGGAAGAAGTCCAGTACGGTAAATACATCTGGAAGACATCTCACTAGATGGTTTCCTTGAACTTATGAACAAGGTTGAAAACATTCAAGAAATAGAAAACTGGAACTGGTCTTATATTATGGCAATCCCCAGCTGGTCTACAGTACTCTTCTACATACCAGCAGCATCTATTGCAATCTGGAAGATATACAATTGGAATAAGCGATCGAGTAAAGCAAGTCGCGAGGACGCTCCTGGAAGGTGCAGAACCAGCTTCCAACTTAAGGACTTAACTTAGTTCTAACTTCTCTATTTTAACTTTCTATTTTAAATTTTTATAAAGTTTTCGCCACTCTGCATTTCAAATTGCTACAGAAGAAGGTGTACGTGTACTATTAATGCTTGATTTTTTTACGAGTTCCGGTTTAAATAAATGTTTTTTCTATCGCATCTCTGTATTCTTTATTTAATAGTACTCAGGCCGATGTTTAACTAGTTTCTAAAGCTGTACTAATCTGTTTTATTGGAATATCAACCAGTACATTTTCTAAAGTTTCAAAGGGGTTGTTTGCTATCATCGGTGTTAGTAGTGGTGGTATCATCGTGGCCATTTTACTAATTTGAGTCGTTATTATTGCATTACTCGAATCTATTACCATTTCCGGCATTGTCAGTACCGTTGTCATTGGTAGGCTTATTTGAGTTGGGATTACAAGAACATCATCTAACGATACTAAGGAACCGAGGTCCAAATAACTTCCTGACAAATGGAATGTTGGAATGTTGTTATCGATAAACGATTCTAATTCATCGGTAGATGAATTCATAGTTACTAGAACATCGCCAACCATGATTTTTTTCTGCCAGATTTGATTATAAATGTTTCAAAAAGTTAAATTCAGACACCAGAAAAAAAAAGAAATATATTTTTTCTGGTGTCTGAATTTTCACTAATTAGTCTTTCCGGGGTATTCCGGACACATTTTGAATAATCCACTACATGGTGATCAAATTCATTAAGTCCAAATTTTCTGAAACTAATTATATTTCTTTGGAGAATTTTTCTTTGGAGGAGCCATCTGAAGAAAATAATGTCATATTGAATCTTCTTCCTAAAACGCAACGTTCATTCACGTATTATATATTATATATTTCATGAAATGTCCGTCAACCAAAGCAGTATTCAATTTTCGGCTTCTCTATTCTTTCATATAATTTTAAGTTGGCCGAAAACTAAATAATAATTTTAGACTCAATCTAGTTTTTGGTCACAACTAAAATGGATATTTTAGTTTCATCAATAATCATTCAAATTGTTTGGTGGCCGAAAACTGAAAGCTAGTGTCTTCGCAAGGATACAATTCATTATAAAAAAGAAAGAAGACTAATAGTAGGTAACCAAATAAATGAAAGAGACAAAGTATTTAGGCTAAACACGGGCTATTTTGCGGCCACATGGCCGATAACCAAATAATAGGAAAATTTTATGTGTCACTTTCCGGTCACCTAATTTATTAACTTTTACAATAAAATATTATAGTAATCTATGTGAAAATTTAAAATTAAGTTACTCATACAGTGAAATATAAGCACAATATTAAATAATCATTGTAAATACAGCGCAAAATTTACTTTTGAGTAAAACGCGCGCCACTATTTTTTTGCACGATCTTACACTATTTGACAGCTCCTGTGCCGGCGTCAAACTGATGTGTTGTGTTTACCCGATGAAGTAATGTTGCAATATATAATTGAACTATTTACAAATGCATTAAACTTAATTTTGGACGATAATATTTATTAAAATCGTTATTAAATCAAATTTACTGCATCACCTCGTGCCAAAGGCCGAAAATAGACCCGGTCGGCTTACCGGCGCAACGACCCTACATGCACATTGTAATACCACTGTCTAATAACCTTACCTGCTTTTGGTCTCACACACGCTCCACACTCTGACACGTATACAAATACGTGTTTATCCCATGTAAAATATGACACCGCATCTGCATTTTGATTGTCGAGAATGTAGGTGTATATATGAGAGTGAGACACACCATCCACTTACCAAAAGGTGGAATGTGGTGTAACATATAAAAATGAAATTCCTCAAGCATAAAAAATATATTTTTTTATTTTTTACGCTTCGCGTTAATTTTCAGCACCTATTTTCATGAGCTATATTAAATCAATAGATAATGTGGAACCTTAAAATAGAAAATAACTGTAATCTATAACACTGAATGAATCAGTTTTCCTCAATCACCCTAGACGGAGATGTAGCTATGAAATAAAGTTAGTTACAATTTATTATAGAAGCCACTGTTGGCCGCCTCTCATTTTTGAGAGGGTTCTAAAGTTAGTCCATCGACTACTTCTGTTCGTGTTGGCGGATTTCACATGTCCTCGAAATATTTTCACAGCATATTTTTGTATGCTACTTAAAATATTAGCGCGAACGCAGATGCTTTTGGGTATTTAAAAGGTACTCCTGTGGCAGACGAACTTAATTTATGATACACAAGTAAAAAATTCGTCGGAATCTCGAACTAAATAAAAATACTAATTGGTTGTCAGTAAACGGTTCATACCTACCTACAAGTAGTTCCAACCATGGATTCAACACCTGGACTAACGCAGTAGCTGTACAAGCTCTAATCACTAAGTTCGGTGGTTGATACGATATTAAAGCATGAATTACTAAAGCACTGCAGAGGATGCTATTTGGGTTTTTATTAAAACATTGCGTTAGAGCGTTTAGACAAGCCAGTAGTTGTTCTACGCTGTAAGCGCTCTGATGTGACAACGGCGATGCACTCTCGTGTAGACTAATACTGTGGAAAAATATCATCTATCAATACATGTAGTTCAATGCTATTGTTTTACTATTGTATCTGAAAAATCGGTCAGTGAACGTATAAACATGTACTAGATTAATAATAATAATAATAAATTTTTATTATAATATTTTTATTTTATTTTATTTTAAAAATTTTATATATTTATTTTATTTTTTTGATATTTATGTACGTTTATAATGTTTATTTACAATTATATATTTATATTTCCCAACCAGATGAGAAAACTTTATAGATACCACATAATAATAATAATTGTTTTATTGTTTCTCAATACATTGTCATGCATTACATAAATTGAGGTAGCACCAGTAAGTTAGAAAATCCTTGCGTTGGAACTACCTCGCTGATTAGATATAATATATATAATATTATAGATTACTATTTTAGATTATTATTTACTAGATTGAACATAATATTTTATAGATAGTACAAACGATGCAATGTCCTACCCATGTACTACAATCATTTTTATATAAATAAAGTTTATTACTATTATTCTATAAATAAAAATGTTTTAAATTTCATCGAATCAGTTTTATTTCAAAATCACCCACATCCTTAAATTTTCAAGCAACATTAAATTAAGATTAAAAATAATTTCGTTGTCCCATCTATTTCTTTGTTAGATCTTTATCTTACTTGCGTTTCGTCACTCTGACGTAACCTTGCTAATTCGTTAGTGTTAAACATCACTGTCGTTAGATGGCGCACATTGATTCTGTAAATGTGTGCGTGCATCATTCGAGGTCACTTGGCTCTTGTAGTCCTCTTAAGTAAGCCTATCGTCAGGTATATATTTACGAGGCGATAGGGATTTCTGCCTAGGAGTCCATTTGGGGTACCTTCAACCTATTTCTGTCGCGAACCATCAGTGCGTAAACTGTTGTGTTTAAGTGCGAGAGGTATGAAGACAATGTAATATTACATATTGTGAGGCATACCATCTTAGTCCTTAGATGTGACGACGCATACAGATTCGCTGTGTAAGGTTAACATCAGATGGACTCTAAGTTCGTTTGTCATTTCATTTCATAAAACGCCCGACAGCTAGGCATTGCAGTGGCGGTGGACAAATTGGTAAGACTTTTCCAAGCCATTCTTCTTCAATTTGGTCCTCTCCTGTTAATGAGAGGAGTTGCCTTAACCATCACGCTTGTCAGGTGTACTGACGATCACAGTATCAGTGGTCTCGCACCTTTGTCGCTGTCCCGCATCGCCACTCTTGGTATTTTTTACGTCTGACGTAAACAAGATGGTGCAACCGCCACTTATCGGAAGCCATAAGTTCTTTATGACATACTCCATCCAGTCACCTCTTATAATACGGGACATAATAGCCGATGGATTCTCTTAAGCCCCCACCGTAAAGCAATTTTCAAGGCATACCTTTATCTAACAATCTTGTTGACCCTTACCCATTAAGCAAATCACAAAGAAAATGCAAGCAGACATCAATTGCCGCATTAGAATTGATAGCGGCGTAGTGAGCCAGTGCTCTAAGCACCGCCGACATTGCGTGCGCGGCGTGTTCTTCCTCGAAAAAGCGCCTTCCGCGCCAAAGCAATCGCGTACATGTCAGAATAGACCTAAAAACACCAATATTACATTACTTAAATTACTTTTCTGCAGATACAGCGTAAAATAAGAGATGCATTTTAACAAAAGCCATGATATTAAATTAGCTTCACTAGGTGGTTTCAGTCTAGGTGTCCGTCTACGTAGATACCACCCTCTTATCTATTTCAGCCGTCAAATAGCCGTGCTTGTACTGCTGCGTGTCTAATGGCCCATCTACACTATTTGCGAAGTTGATCGAAGTTGACCTGTCGGTTTTTTGCGCCAGAGTCAAAGGACTTCGCGAAGTACGCCGAAATTACACGAAGCGTCTCACTACACTACTCGGCGTACGCCAGTTATATATTAATATTTTTATATATAAATATTAAATATGTAGCTTTCTACATAATTATTTAACCCATTGACGTAGTACTGTTCACACAATTAGGTACCTATAGCAGCTGCCTCTTGAACGTTATTCTTATTCATGTTATGGGTGCGGGCGACTCAAAACGACAGAGCTGTTCGCGAAGTAGCACGAGTGTGTAGTCACGTTCTTTGGACTGCGATCGACTTCGACGAGCACTTCATCAAGGTTACTTCGCGAGTAGTATAGACGAGGCATATATCAGTGATTCCCAACTTGTGGTCCGCAAGAGTTTAAATATGTTCACTGTCACACCGGCAGTGCAACACCGGCAGTGCAATCGCAACCAAAAACGCTAAGTTTTACCAAACATTTATTTCTTTTACAATAAATACACAAATTATATCTAATACTGTGAATAAATGCTTCTTTTTAGTTTATCGCATAATTATGTAATAATTTATTGTTTTTTTTTTAATAGGAGATGCGCAAACGAGTATGCGGCTCACCTGATGGTAAGTAACTACCGCCGCCCATGAACAACTGCAACACCAGGGGAATTGCAGATGAGCTGGCGGCCCTTTAAAAAGGTGTACGCTCTTTTCTTGAAGGTCCCTAAGTCGCATCGGTCCGGAAAAATCGCTGGTGGTAATCGATTCCACAAGGAAGTTGTGCGAGGAAGAAAAGTTCTTCTAAATCGCACAGTGGTGAACCGCAGATGGTATGGATGGTATCGCGAGTTTTGTCGCGATGTGCGATGGTGAAATTATTATTATTGATATTGTTAGATTAACTTATTTTTTTTTTCTTTTTGTTGTGGTCCCTGCTAACAACAAAGAAATCAAAGTGGTCCGTGGTTAAAAAAGGTTGAGAAAGCCTGGTCTAAAGGGTATAGAGCTAGTATAATTAAAGCCTCTGAGGCTTTCCATCTTAGTCTTCAGAGATGACAAACGAATCTGCAGCATGCATGGACTGCAGTAACCACTTAACATCTGGTGGACTCAGGGGCGTAGCTACCGCCGTATCAGCCGTATCAATGATACGGGGCCCCCGGGCTACAGGGGCCCCGAACGTGTGTAAACAAAAATTCTAAGGACTTCTATGGGACAGAAGAGGCTACCACTATCGTCTATAGAAGCAAAGAATTTAGAAAAACTGAAATCGGCTTCAGCTATGAATGCCGCCGAATCGTCTTCAGCTATGTTCGCTGAACAAAAGGCAAGAAAAGTGTATATTTAATTGTTTTTCGCTAGCTAGTTCCTAGGAGTATTAGGTGAGAGGCGCACTGAACCTAAACGTTAAGTTGGAGAGGTCTCGTCTAATGAAGTCAACGCTCCGTCCCCCTCGTGCTCTAATCCAAAGTCCCGAAACCTTTCAGCTCGAGCTATGAAACCGTTTTCAGTGTCTAGAAGATTGCAATGTAGTAAACGATATGAATGACGAGCTCGTGGAAACTGTCTATGCGGTCGGAGCTAAGTTTTGTAAGACCCGCCGCAGAAGAACACAAAAACTCTCCGATCACACTCTTAATCTCATGGCTGTTGGATAGGATATGAAGCTGCAGTCTTCAGTAGATTTGATAGCATACAGGCAACTGAACAGACAGATCTCCAAATCCATGCGGCGGGACTTACGCAACTTTAATACTGCTTGTATTGAAGAAGCAATCGAGCGGAACCAGGGCTCCAAAGTCTTTGCTAGAGATCTGACTGCCAAAAAGAGCCAACTGTCGAAGCTGAAGACCGAGTGTGGCAGCTTCGTTTCCGGGACATCTGAGATTTTGAGTGAGATTAAGAGTTTCTATGGGCATCTGTAGACATCATCGTTGGAGCCACACGCAAGTGTGAGTAACGATCCAAGAGCGAGTCTTATCCGACACTATTCCGAAAATATCCTGGACGTCAGTCTGAGCGAGATTAGAATGGCTCTCCAGCATCTTAAAAACGGCAAAGGCCCAGGCGAGGATGGAATTACAGCGGAGCTTCTGAAAGCGGGTGGAAAACGGGTTCTTGAAGTACTTCAGAAGCTCTTTAATTCCGTCCTCCATGGTGGCATTACACCGGAGGCGTGGAGCAGAAGTGCAGTGATCTTGTTCTTCAAAAAAGGTGACTACGCTCTCTTGAAGAACTACAGACCGATTTCCCTTCTGAGCCGCGTCTACGTGCTATTTTTGAAAGTCATTACGAATAGTCTCGCGCGCAGACTTGACGACTTCCAGCCTCCCGAACCGAAAAGGCTTTAGTACGATAGACCACATACATACCCTTTGGCAAATTGTACAGAAGTCTGAGGAGTACAATTTGCCACTATATCTGGCATATGTGGACTATGAGAAAGTCTTTGATTCCGTCGAAATTTGGGCGGTGCTGCAGTCCCTTTAGCGGTGCCAAGTTGACTGTCGGTATATCGAAGTGCTGAAGTGCTTGTACAGTAGGGCTACGATGGCTATCCGAGTATAGAACCAGCTTACGAAACCTATCCAATTGCAGAGAGGTGTAAGACAGGGTGACATTATATCCCCGAAACTCTTCTTCGCTGTATTGGAAGCCATTTTCAAGCTTCTGGACTGGAAAGGATACGGTATTAACATCAATGGCGAGTACATCACTCACTTTCGATTTGCCGACGATATAGGCCTTATGGCAGAATCGCTGGAGGATCTAAGCACTATGCTCAATGACCTCAATAGTGTCTTCCAACGGATAGGTCTTAAGATGAACATGGACAAAACAAAGATCATGTTTAATATCCATGTCACACCTATGCCGGTAGTTGTTGGGAGCACTAAGCTCGAAATTGTTGACGAGTATGTTTACCTGGGACAAATAGTCCAACTAGGTAAGTCCAACTTCGACCGAGAGGTCAATCGACGGATTCAACTCGGCTGGGCAGCGTTCGGGAAGCTACGACACATCTTCTCGTCAGACATACCTCAAAACTTGAAAACAAAACTGTACAAACAGTGCGTGTTGCCAGTGATGACATACGGAACTGAGACGTGGTCCTTCACTGCTGGCCGGATGAGGAAGCTCAAGGTCGCTCAGCAAGCTATGGAGAGGGCTATGCTCAGTTTCTCTGCGTGATAAACTTAGAAATAAGGATATCCGCAGTAGAACCAGAGTGACCGACATAGCCCAACGGATTAGTAAGCTGAAGTGGCAATGGGCCGGCCATATAGCTCGAAGAACCGACAACCGATGGGGAAAAAAGGTTCTCGAGTGGCGGCCTCGTACCGGCGGACGAACTGTGGGACGTCCCCCCACTAGATGGAGTGACGACCTGGTAAGATATGCAGGAAGTCGATGGATGCAGGCGGCTCAGGACCGTGCTTTATGGCATACTTTGGGGGAGGCCTATGTTCAGCAGTGGACTTGTAAAGGGCTGTAATGATGATGAATAACAAATAATCAATAATATATAATAATTTTAATTCAAAGCAAAAACGCTTGTTTTGTTCCTTTTATAAAATCTTTACCCTTCATTGGGGCCCCCCAACAAATTTTGATACAGGGCCCATCTAAGGCACGCTACGCCACTGGGTGGACTGTAAGTTCGTTTGTTACTTCAGTTTTATAAAAAAAACTTTAGCAAACAAACTTGCGCCGTACAGGATTTGAATCAACGGCCCTCATCACCGCATTCAAATGTTTTAACCGATAAAACACCTTAAACACGGATTAGTAATATGTTTTTTCACAGTCTTAATATTGCATAGTACGCGAGAGAAACCACGTAAACGTATTTTTATATGTAGTCTTTGATTCGTTCCAACAAAGAAAGACAGAAGGAGAGCTGCGTACATTTCAACTGACGCCGAAACCAAGCCTAAATTATCATCGATTTATTTTAAGCACACAAGCACATCATATTAGTCCACGGGCCCACATACAAGGGATTTCAGTGATTAATAACAGGCTGAAAGTTTATACACAGCTTCGTTTTGACGAGACACCCAACTTTTATCATTGGACAAATTCTGATAGTGGTAGGAAAAAGCGCGATAGGGAGCGAAACACGTCGATTTGATGAGTGTCCCAAATTAAATAATAACAGTTTCTAAAAATCAATACTTCGAGAAAATACGATGGAAAACTGAGAAAACTTGTGGCATACAAAGTGAATGGTACCTAACGAGTGACCCCCAGCTCTAACATATCAGAATGGTGACTTTAAAAAAATTATTAATAACAAGCTGATTTTTGTTTTGGGGCTTGCAAAATATATATTTTTTATAAAAAATGCATCGGCATACAAATTTGTTGGTAATTTTTTGAGACCTACACTCGAAAGTTGTCAAGATTATGTTAATCTTTTTTTTTTTGATTAATAACAACTTCTTTTTTAATATTTTCTGTTAAGAATCAAACGTATAACACAATGAAAATATTGGCATACAAAAAAAATGGAAGCGATTAATTACAAATGAACTTTTCGAAATTTTAAAACAAATTAAATCTTGAAAATATAATATGTTGAAGTCCTGTACATTATTTTCGCCAGCTTTTGTTTGAAATTGTTAAAATGGAAAATTCGTATACAAAATTACAGCTTATTTAATGAATGTGAATATGATTTTTTAAATTACTTAATTATATGAACAATTACAGCAATAAAAACAAGGGAATTGCATTAAAATTTGTTGAAATTTCTTGTAACGAGTGATTGAGCTATTGAACTACTTATTTATTTTATTATTCAGTTTAAGTGATAGTCAAGTAAGGAAAAAATCATTAATTTGTAAAAAAATTGTAAAATCAGTTATCGTCTATAAAAAAAATCAGTTCTGAAGTTCGAAAAATGCACATTTATACCTCGTGTGGGTACTTAAAAGTTAATATTAATTACAGTTTTTTAATTTCTTTATAATTTGAATCTATAATTTATAATCGAATTAAAGTAATATCTTTATTTTATTATATTAACAAATTAAAAATATTTACCTAAAATACATATACCTAATACATGTTTGTAGCAATAATTTTTTCACTATATTTTTTTTTGCAGTGCCTTATAAAGAAAACAATATGATAAACTGTGTAATTTTGCCTCAGGTATAAAATCGTAAGATCTCCTCCCAAAACGACTATTTTTCAAAACACAATTCAAAGCGTTCCATATGGGTTTAGTCGAGCTCTCTTTTCGAGCTGAGGTAATATAGGCCCTTAAGTGATCGTCATCATGGAGTGTTTCTTGTACAATTCTTTACGTAAGGACGAACGTTTTCGTCCGAAAAGAGAACTTATAAAAAAATTTACGAAAGAAATTTATGCTTTGTGCAAGTAAAGTTCTGATAATACCTTTATTTTTATAACATTAGTTTAATACAAATGAAACCAGTGGTTACAAGACATAAGTATGGAGCACCTATTAAATGATTCGATTTTTGTTTTTGTAGGTTAACCAAAAAAATACCATTTTTTTTTTTGTAGGTCACTATTATATTTAGATTAAGAATTAAGTAAATAATTATAAATTTTTCGTAGCATACGGTTAGTAATCAAAAAAAGATTAACATAATCTTGACAAATTTCGAGTGTAGGTCTCATAAAAATTACCAACAAATTTGTATGCTGATTCATTTTTTATAAAAAATATATATTTTGCAAGCCCCAAAACAAAAATCAGCTTGTTATTAATAATTTTTTTAAAGTCACCTTTCTGATATGTTAGAGCTGGGGGTCACTCGGAAGGTACCATTCACTTTGTATGCCACAAGTTTTTTTCAGTTTTCCATCGTATTTTCTCGAAGTATTGATTTTTAGAAACTGTTATTATTTAATTTGGGACACTCATCAAATCGACGTGTTTCGCTCCCTATCGCGCTTTTTCCTACCACTATCAGAATTTGTCCAATGATAAAAGTTGGGTGTCTCGTCAAAACGAAGCTGTGTATAAACTTTCAGCCTGTTATTAATCACTGAAATCCCTTGTATGTGGGCCCGTGGACTATATGCACTTAAAATTGTTTGCAACTAACAACATGGTTTTAGGTGTATATTATGTGTGCATCCAGCAGTAAACTTTTACGGACTGTCAAAGAAAAAAGAAAAGCGAGTACGTCAGTACGCGTCAAGAAGTTGAACATGTTTGGGCGTCACTTGAAATGTACTTAGTGCTTCGTCTGTCTTTCTTTGTTAGTCTGTGATGGTTACGTGGAGTTCGTCAATTGGACCAGTGTGGAGGAGCCCTGCTCCATAGCTTTAAAATATTATAGGAGAAATGTGCTCGGCAGAATTCAATTGTCATATCAAAAACATATTTTGACGTCTCGACGGTACAGTTGTATTTTTAAGCCTGATTTACAGGAGTAACAGTCTAAGGGGTAGTAACAGTCGCCAGTGCTGGCGCTGACGACTGACTTGCACCGTTTACACGCAGTCAGTAGTCGCGCAGACAATGCTGTACTGACTTCAAATCAATTTACATTATGCCAGTAGCGGGACAGCACTAACTTGCCTCGAATTTGGAGCCAATTACTGTCCCTGTGTAAATCAGTCATTACAGTCACATACTTTTTAATCGTCTCGGGGCACACTCTTTGGCCTTTTTATGTAGTTCTTTATAGGCAGATTATTTCTAAGCTGTCGATTACAGTATGCCAACCTCGTTGCCTGCGTTCCTTTCTATGTTTATGCTGATACAAACGCTAAAGTCTTTGATACAGAACTCGGCAGGAAAAAATTCTTAAATGTTGTTCATCTTTATTATTTGACATACTGGCAATTCAATTTGGTAATCCTTGACATAAAACAAAAATACTTCCTCTTTAGGTCAGTTATTATACTCTTGGATCAACACTCGCCAAACCCGATTTCGAAAGGTTCGATGAAGTTTTCACTGAAACTTTGAGATAACTTTGTCGTACGGGCAGCTCTTCAACCAATCAATTCAGTTCAGTATCGAACATGTTAGTAACGAGAAGGAGCACCTACAACTAGAGTCCGCGAGACGGAAATACGACCATCGTTACGTAAATGGTCTTCTAGCAAGTGTATGCTACCTATAATATAATTTCTGCCACCGAATTACAATTAAGGTACAAAAAATAATATACAAATTATTATTTAAAAGGATACAACAGTACAGATTATTTTAAAGAGAGAAAAAATGCTTTGTATTATTGTGAAATACTACGCACCTAAATAAAGAAAAATCTAAGTTAGACGTAGCTTCACAAAGAAAAACTATAATATCATTGTTCAGCAAATATTCGACAACACGTGCCCTTTCGTCTGAATTTTCTTTATATCTGCTTAAGACTTCAATTAAATAACCACAAGCTTTGTTTTGAGCATCAACATCTCTAGAAGTTAGTAACCTTTTTATATCAGACAGAGCATTTTGTCTTCCACTGGGATTGTAAGTTCTGCTGAATTTAGAATTTACTAAGCCATACATAATATTAACTGAATAAACTAGCAATTAATGCTGAAAAAATTCGCGGGAAATTTAGGATTCAATTCAGCCGATTTTTTCTTTTCTTTTTTATTTTAATTGCGAAATCTCGTCTTTTTTTCTTCGGTAATAGACTCATACGGTTGTACTTTTGCCTATGCCAATAACTAATAAATGAACCTTTATAATAATTTATTTAAAAACTTCTTCAAGATATCAGGCCTCTGTCACTCTTGCTCTTGCTACCTGAGTGAAATAATTACTTACAATCGCGAGGCGCCCCCGGGGCAGAACGCAGTCGGGGCTAGCGCGTTCTAGGCGATTGAATGTTAAAGTTTTTTAACGCTGTTTACGTAAATAATTTTTTGTAAATACTTGTTTAAATACTCATCGAAATAGTTTTTGTATTAAGAATTTTGCAAATTGAAAAAGTTTTAATGTAATTTAAGAAAAATATATGTAATATTTATTACCTATCTATTTCATAAATTATAATGGCAAAACGTCGTTCCTACTATAATGAGGGCTAATAATATTCTGCTCACCAGATGTCGCTAGTTGACACTGAGGTAAAATTTTTTTGTTACACAGTGTAATTTAATTAAGAAGTTGGTTTTTAATAAAAGTTTATCAGTTTCTATAGTACACAAAACAATGCGTCAGTAGTTTGCTCTTTAATTTTCTTGCACATTTTAACTTTTTTTTTTTCATTTTTAAACATTATGAATATCTGTGGTTTGTTTTATTTATTCTTAATCTTATTAATATAAAATATAGCCAATAGTGCAGGAAGAAACAATAACCTTTACATTTTCCGAACAAATTAACTTCCCCGCTATGAAATCTGTCAAATATTATACCTAACTTTCTAGTGGTGCCACCCTGGTGGCAGAAAAAGTCGTGGATGCCCTCATTGCCTAATGAGCAAACAAAAGGATTCAGATATATAATTTTTTTAAATTAGCGAAGAATAATGAAAGGTGAATTTATTTCATTTTTTTTTGTTAGATAGGTACTTATAGTGAAAAAAGAATTAAGTAATAATTTAAGTACAAAAGTAATACCTAAGTACTTTATTACAAAACTTAGTTGAAATTTACTTCATTATCCAAGTACCTACTTACATATCTATACTATTATCTTTTGTAATTAAAATATTTTAAGTTATAATAACACAAAAATACTGAAATTAAAACTTTGTTTAGAAAATTTTAATTAAGTAGAATACTATCATATTTCTGTTAGAAATCGTATTTCGAGTTTATTTGCTGTTTACACTATCTACCTATTTCCTCCGAGCCAAACATCGCGATTCCCGACAAATGGCCTTGCAAGTTGCATGCGTTGGGTATCACAGAATATTGTGACATAGGAAGGAGAAAGAATGCAAAAAAAATACAGACACTCGCGCGCAGCGATAATTATTAAAACGTCGGCAAGCAGTCAACATCAAAGTAGTACAACTTCTGTACGTAGTACTATTATTTATTCTGTAACGATAGGTATGTTATGCGTCACATAGCGAAAATTTTAAAAGATTTTGAAGGCAGCTTCAGCAAGCAGACAATCAATGACGAATAGTATCCACATACTAATAAGTACTAGATAGTATATCTTAATCTCAAGGCGCTTAAGCAGACGAAATAACTTGAGGTTTAAATTACCTTCGGAGCATTTATTTCATCGTTTCTAATAATAGTTCAAAAGTGCAAATATTTAATACAATAAATTGCACCACTTTTAAGTATAAAAATCCACTTCGAACTATTATTTAAACAATAACGAGCAGTTAAATGCCGGCGGTCAAGTTCCTGACTTCCCACCAAAACTATTTTATTGGCTTTGTTGTAAGTGTTGTAAGATTAATCTTTTTAATAATTATAAAAACTTCTCTTGTTACTTTTTCTTTCTCTTTTCTCGATTGACTATGATTATATTGTGAATATGAAGTATGTAGTTTTGTTAAAAGCAGAGTTATCTTCCTGTACATGGAGCTGTAGCAGAACAAGTAAAAATCGGGTAAATACGGGCCGCATCGTAACCGTAACTTTGTTCCTGCCGCATCGTAGCGTAGAAGCAGTAGCGAATTTTGCTTGTATTATTTACATTAACATGCGGTGATGCCACTATCTAAAAAAAAATTAAGGCTGACTAGGTTGGCAGTTGATTACGACTCTAGGCCAAAATCTACCTTATATAGTATATTCTCTATGCCAAAATCTATGACATCTCTAGCCCCTAGAAGCATATTAAAAAAAAAACCTAGGATTTATATCACCACCGAAGCATTCACTATATTATAGTTCCACTCACAGAACACTATTACTCCTACGGAGTCCACTAATTTAACAAAAAAAGTGCTACTTTTACGTACCTATTAAAATCTTGCTTTATATAATTATTTGTAAATAATGATTTAAAGCTAGATTTTAAGCGATATATCAAGAGCAGTACAGTCATCCACCAGCGACCAAATTCCTGCAAAAAGTCCCTTTTCTATGTTTTATTATTTTATAAGAGTATCTCTAAAACATTATAAAATCTAACGAAGGAAAGTTGAAAACTTAAAATTAGTACTAATTTAAAGAAAAAGCGAAATTGTCTAAAAGACGGCAACATTATCGGACATGTCATTCTCATCTGTATTCTGAACTGCTGTTTCTGTTTTTGCTACACAGTTGAATGTATCTTTTATGATTTTCTTATTGAGAATTTGCTTTGGCAACTAATTTTTTCATTATTTATTTAAAAATTAAACAAACAAAATTGAGTCACAATGGTAAGTTACACAATAAATGTCTATAAGCGAATTGTCAAGTGAGGGTGCTGCGCACCCTGTTTTTCGCCATATCTGAATGCGCGACTAAAATAATGCTATTGTTGCAGTCGGTGATGGAGTTTCTGAAGGATTTACCGTCTTATGACGAACACAACTTTACATTATTTAATACAGATTCCGGTATTAGGAATTGTTCAAAAAGACCTTCAATATATCTGCCCACTAAGGATATTCCATCCGACCAAAGTGAGTTTACGTCTAGTATTAATATTCTGTTTCTAATAAGTATAATTAGGCAGGTGATGGTACTGTAATGGCTAATCTATTCCTCAACTTGTTGAGTATTTGTTTTAAGTACATCAAAAATGTGTTAAATAAGGATTTTAAATTAAGGTTAACTAGCAGTTAAAACTTATTGTCATTATTTCTACCTATTACTCTTGCTGCTCATCATGAAGTTGTCATTTTTGCTACCTATTACAAGTCCACTGCTATTCATAGGCTTTCCCCAAAGACTGCCAATATATATGGTCCCGAGCAACCTTTATCTAACCTTAATTTAAATTACAATGTGACCAAAACAATTAGTCGCATGACAGCTAAGACATCATTAGAACTAGCGAGGGAACACCAGAATGGTGATTGGTTACTAGGGGAAGCATGAGGATGGAAGCAGGGTGCGGGCGCCAAAACCGCATTCCTGTCATGCGCCTTATTGTTTTGTCCAAATTCTACTTAAATGAATTCATTAATTTTCTCTTTTCTTTTACAGTTATAGTTACAGAAAAAACAAATATTCTATTAAGATATTTACACCAGCAGTGGGAGAAAAAGGTAAAATTGTTAAATATATTTTTATTCCGATAATCCATTTGATTTTATGATAAAACATTCCTTTGATTCCAAAAATTATACTGGATGGCATTTGAATTCAAACCTAATACTTAAAGAATACAGCAGAGGCTGTAGCCAACTATAATTTATATGTATAAATTATAAAAAGTATTTGTGTCTTGCTTGACAGAGATAGGGAAGCGGCGGTCTGTAGCTACGCATTCATTTGCTTGATTGCATGTGTAGGCAAAAAAAATTAAAGTGTTGACCATTTGCAGGTTTTTTGTGATCATTAGTAATATTTATTACTTTCTTGATGATTGTTAGTAAATGAACTGATAACCAATGCATTTTTAAAGATTTCTCCACAATGCCTAGATCCCATGTTATGCTAAAACAGCTAAACCTACCTGTTTCGTAAGTTTTACCGTGTATTGAATTAGAAGTAGGTTAAGTTCACTGCCTATATTATATGTCCCATGTACAAATAAGTTAACTAATAATAAGACAACCAAGAGAAACTACTGCAGCTTGGACAGATTATTCTTAGATTCTTAGTTTTTAAAATAGTTAATCTATTATCTATTTGTAATAAATTAATGTTTGCCCCAATTTAAAAAACAAAACAAAAATGTTTATCAATATTAATAATATTTTTTATAGAATAATTATTCTGTATTAACCATACAGTGAGGTTGTAAGATCCACCATCCCATATTGTGTGGTGGGTGTTGTAAGAAGCAACGGAGGGATACTGAAACAGAACATGGGCAGCTGCAGCTTCCTAATAGCAACTCAAAATTTAAGAAAACTGGTTGATAAATGATAACCCACCTACCAATTATAGCAACTATAGCAAAATTCCTCTAAGGAAATTTATGGTGTCTGCCTAAGTTCAGCAGTGAACTTTTATAGGCTGCAATGTAAGGTTAGATTAAATAATTATGAGACAAAATAACCTTTACAATAATTTAAAATTAAAATTTTGTACAGCCGACTTCAATATAAGTTATTAAGAATAACTCAAAAACTATTGGTCTGACCTTAATCAAATTCATATGGAAGCACACAAGAATTACCAGCTTTCAAATAGAAAAATAATCATCGAAATTGGTTCACCCAGTAAAAAATTATTAGGTAACACACATAAAAAGAAAAAATACAGTTGAATTGAGTACCGTCTCCTTTTTGGAAGTCGGCAGAAAAAGAAAAGTAAATTATATTGTTTGGTAAAAAAAAAAACCTGATCATACACACACACACACCCACACACTATGAACATCATTTAGATTTGATAAATTAAAGAATCACTTTTCAGGCAAAATAGTGACAATTTTAAGTTAGTTTATATGTAAAAATCGATTTAAACAACTGCGGGCAAGGACCACATGGGTGAAGAGAACCAGAGACCCTTTTTATCAAGGCATTCCATTTTAGTCCTCAGGGCTGACGACACATCTGCATTTTAATTCTTAAGCTAAGACAGATTAGATGTCTGTGGACCACATCATCGACTTACCATCATGTGGAGTGTGTGCTCAATTTTTACCCTCATTTAATGTGTATACACACTCCCAGATATTCTGAAATTAGTAGAACCAAACTATGAATCTCATAATTTACAGATATGTTACAAAAAAAAAATCTTTTAAATATTAGCTATCACAACAACTTCGAAATGGATAGGTAAATATTAATTTAATGAATACATTTGTTCTCTCAATTTTCGTTAATATTACATTTTATTAATTGCAGAATAATAATTCTCCAAAGAAACGAGACCAGAGCCATATTGAACAGAATGGTGATGAGAACCGACCACGCAAGAGGCCCTGTCTTAACTCACCACTAAACTGAAGTTATTCGCAGCTAACAGTTAGTTTGTGCTTCAGTTATAGACTGTGTAAAGTGTACAACAGTTTTATATTAACATTTATATTCCAGATTATAAGATCAAATTATACGTTAATTCTTGAAACACATTGGTTTTATGTTTTCTGGGAAGCGAGTTGTGCCATTTCCAAATTTAGAAAAATTTATTTAACATTCTCCTTAGAATTTATCATAATACTAATAGGAAAATTCCTAGTATTATAGATGACAGAGGGGATGACATAAAATATTTGTTACATAAACAACATCTGTAAAAACCATAAATAACAAAATCACTAATTTTTTTTTAAACCTGTAAGTAACTAAATTCTCAATAATTCTCATTCCAATAATTAATCATATAACTTTGGGATAATTTACACTGCTGCTGAATGTGTCACTTTGTTAAAATAAATTATTAATAATTTATGTATGTATCACAAAAATTTTTGTTATTTATAATAGCAAAGATATGTTTGGTTAAAATTAAATAATAAATGCATATGGTGCAGGAAACAATGTTATGATCACCTTCAGAGATTTTAAACCAACATTTTTTTTTAAATTCTGAAAGAAATGTAGGTAATTTTTGTAACTGAATTTATTTCAAAAAAATAATTAAATCTTTCTATTGGTATATCATATAATTCCACTATTACTTGTAATCTGGACGAGAAATTATTAATTGATTAATTATACCATATTCTATGCTTCTTTGAAACTAAATTGAATGCATTCATTACAAAATTTATTTAATAATTGTCACCGTTTCTTGCTTAGTATAATTTGTTAGAAATTCTTAAGAGTCCATCTAGATTTTGTTTATGTGTATTTTATTTATTTTATTATGTAGCTTAAAACAATTTAAGCACAACTCTGAATATAAAAAATTGTTTCCGATTTTTCTTCAGAACATTAACAACTTATTTTACTATGTAAATATATTCATAGTGTGAAATGCTTCACAAGGTTTATTTTTTAATGATAATAATTATAAGAGTAAATTGTTTTTATATGATATTGTAGACCTTTTGATTATTTCAGTTAGAGCTGATTGACATACACACATATTATGCTGGATTTAAAGTACATGAGAAATGCACCCATTTTTATTTCTTTTAGTTGATGTTTTTCTTTTTATTGGCTATGTTGTAACTTTAAATGTTACACCAAGATGTAATATTTTTTTTTACATGTAAACGAAACACCTACAATATATTCATTACAAACGATATGGTTTATCACTTTGCTTTTATATTTATTGATATAGTGAGTGAAAAATATCCAACCCCGAAAAGAAATTTGCTGATGAGTGTGAGGGTATTTTCGTGATTGTCGAAAGCCAGTGTAAAGGAATACACTTCTCGCACTACAAGTGTTTAATGCACGATATCGGGTTAGATTTGACTGCCTCGTTGGTCTATTATTATATAGCCAGGCTCGAATCCCGGAACGAGCAAAAAAATTTAGTTTTTCCGTCAAGAAATTATCAGTAGCAGCCCGGAGTCTGGTAATTGACAATGTTTCACCCCTATGCCTCAGAAGGTACTAAATGATACTAACCAACCGGAGGGCTTAAACCCAAAAGAACTCTGAATTTTCAAAGATGGTTCCAAAACAAATGAAGGTACAGATCTGGAACTTTCTTGGAAAACCTCAATATCCACATATATACACTGCTGAGTAACCTCAACAGTCTTTCAGGCAGTGTTTGGGTATCATCCATGCGACTATAGCAATAGATGCTAGGAAGGTAATATATAATATATCAGGGCCTCTCATTGACACGCGACATCTCGCCAAAATTAAGTTGAATCATTGTAATAAGTTTCTTGTGTATTTTTCTTTAGCTTCTTATGCATTCTTATGAGCGGCCAGGAATGCAGAACTTTCAGTGTACCCTATAGGTATAATGTTGCCGAGACACCGGGTTCGAATCCAGTCAGTTCAATATTGCAAACAGAAATTTGGTATGTACAGCACTGTAGTCTTTACCACTTTCTCCTTGGTCGCCACGGTCAAAATCTGACGATCGAATACATTATCGATTTTAGCAGGTCAAGAATTAATTTAAAAGATTGATAATAATCTTAAAATAGCTTTAGAAAAAATTCTAAATTTAACTTTAAATAATAGCCTGGAATCAAGCTACATTACGTATAAAATTTAGTGGAAAGAATAACATTTTCATATATTTTATTTAACCAAGTAAAGGTTACAAGCTGACAAGTGAGTCCCTGTTCACCTGATGGCAAGTGGCTGCTGTGGCCAATGGAAATGAACATCTTTACAGATAAATTGTAGCCACTGAAGACAAATTTGGATACATACCATTAAAACCTATTTGGATTTTTCTCTTTGATCTAATTACCAATTTTGTATCCCTCCTCATGATTTTATTATGAGTTATCTTTTAGAATTATCTACACTAGTTTTACACTATTATAAACTTGTTTGTTTGAAGGTAATTTCTGGAACTGTTAGTCCGTTTCTGAAAATTATTTTACTGATAGATAGCAGATACACTAGTTTTGAGATCGTGATAAAAATTTGTTGGCAGTATAAAATCAACATACTTACTTATTTGTGAAAACTGAATTTAAAAAAAATAATTGGCTGTGTTATTTATTGGAATACGAACAAAACAGCTACACATAACATAGTTGCTGCGATGGTTGTAAATTATTTAAGATGCAATATGCATAGGATTGCATTTTCTTACAAAAAATTTAGCATGATTTTAGCATTACTTGAAATGTACGTAGCACTCCAATCTGACATCTCCTGATCTCCAATCTGTTGGTTAAAGCAGATTCGGTTCGCTAGTATACTATGAAATTTTAGGGCGGTTTATTGACTAAGCCTGTTTCCGTGAGCTGCAGATTTAAATCCCACATGGAGGAATGGTTTGTATGACTTACAAATAATTGTAATGTTTGTCGTCCTAAAATCCCAGTGTAACATTTTTAACTTGTGTTCCAAATTTAAAAAAATGGTTTGATATTAAATAAACTTAATGTGTTGCAAGTATGTAACTTTAGATGGTTTTCAATTCTGTGCCTCCTGTGATGAGTGATTTAAGTTGAGTTGTACCCTTTTTGTGATTTTGACATGGGCATTATCAGAAAATAATTACGATTTTTTTGGTCTAACTCACGTTCTTCTATCTGCTATAGTTTCGGAAATAATTTTGTGAAAAATGATATAACTGTCCAGATTTTTTGCAAAAAATTCGTGAATATTGACATTTGTCAAGATGTAACCTCCATAAGTAAGCACTCAACCCAATATTTTTTGTGCTTCGTGATTAAGTACAATTATCGTGAATATTGATGTGTCTGGAGTAATATCCCTTTGAACCGATTCTTTTCGATTTGCCTAGGATACAAATCGACATGTACCTACCGATCCGAATGTGAATTTATGAGTTTTTCGTGAAAAGTGATACATCGTGACATAAATCTTTCTACACAAATCTGTGTTTATGTGTAAACTGATATAAATGTAATTGTACCTAAAACTCAAACCAATTCTAAAAATATTTATGCAGAACAATTATGTGATAAATGATACGAGTGTGGGTAGTGTGGGTGCGCGGGGGTGAAGCGCCGCGTGATCGGGAATGCGCGGGACCTGGAGCTGTATTTTTTGAGTTTTGCTCGTGCTTTCCGCCCGCAGTGACGCAGTGTCGCTGCGGCATTGATGGAGTGAAGGCACGTCCGAATGCGCCATGGATCGACGCGTAAGTTCATAGATGTATCATTTTACACGAAATTCCATAATATAGGATTTTTTGTTTTGGTATTGAATTAAATCACCTGACACAAAATAACATAATTTTTTCGTATAGTCATAGTTAAGTTGCTTGATCTTTTCTTTTGCAATTTCGTCCCTAATATTTTGTTTTAACTAGGTATTCAAAGTCATTTTCTGTCTTTTTAATTAAATTGTAATTTATTATTTAATGTTTTTTAGAAACAAGTATTGTTTTCGTGCTGTGGTTTTCCAAAGTTTTATGTGGTTAATGCTAAACAGAATAATTTTTGTTTCAGTTAAAATCTCGAATTGATAAAATAATGGAATTGGCCACTGAAGCAAAAACTGAAGAAAAACATTGTAATAGTCAGGAAGATGGCTACAAATCAAGAGAAGAGCAAGAAACAAGAAAAACAGTTGAAGGGTCGTGGCACCAGGGTTCAATAGTTACAGAAACGGTTATTGATAAAGAAAAAACTATATCTATCCAGGAAGAAGGAAACAAATCAACAGGGACGCAAGAAGTAAGAGAACCAGTTGAAGAGAGTCGCGGGACCTTCTAATTGCTGCGGAAACGGTTTTTGACAATAACAAGAGGCACAAGACGCAAGAGAATACTTCAAAAAACTTACTAGATGACTTGAGAATTTCAGATTCATCAAACGATGGTGATTTTGGATCATCTAGCAGTGATGATTATATTTGCGGTACTGATGAATCGTCATCATCCACTGATGATGAAATAATTCCGGCTAAAAAAAAAAGAACGGCTACGTCGTCGTTGAGACATACCTCCAATATTACGGTTCCAGAAACACCCCTGTCGCCCATGAGTACATCAGAGAATCCTGTTCCTGGTTGCTCTTTCTGGGAACGCAACGGTATGAATAGAAAAAAACAAAAAAGTGACAAGGAAAGAAGACAGGAGAGAGCAAAGAGAAAACTGTTTCGTAATACTGGCTTGGAATATATAACGACATCAGGGAAAACAAAGAAACGTCGGCAACTTCACGAACTTGAAAACTGTCGTCAAAAATGCAAGGAGAGACTACCACAGGATTTGAGGGAGAAACTTTTTGAACAGTACTGGAGTTTAGGTAGTTACGAAAATAAGACTAAATACATTGCAAAATGTATTGAAGTATGCCGAAAAAAAACGTCGAAGTCTTCTCCAAAGAAAAAACGCAACGTCAACTTTCGTTACTTTGTACATAGTTTTGAACATACAAAACATCCAATTTGCAAAGAATGTTTTTCGAAAACTTTCGATGAAAGTCACAAATATCTACAAACGGTATGCGAGAAACTACGGGACAATGGCGGTCATCTTCCACAGCGTAAACGTCGAGTTGGTAAATCAATTCCTGCTTTAAACTAGAGGAAATAAAAGCGCATATTGCTTGTTTCCCTTGCACAGAAAGCCACTATGGCCGCAACAAAACCACAAAAAAGTTTTTGAATTCCGAGCTCAACCTTCAAGTTATTTATAACTTATACAAACTGAAGACTGATGCTCCAGTAAGCAAAACCATTTTCAAAAAGGTCTTTGAAACGATGAATTTATCCTTCAAAAGGCCATCTGTAGACACTTGTTCAAAATGTGACCGCATCAATATGAAACTCAAGTACTCATCCGTGGATAAAGGGCTTATTACATTATTAAATTTTTAGGAAATCTAATTAGGAAATTGGAAAGTGTAATCATAGTTAGAACAGTTAGGATCCGATTTAGTTAAAGTTGGAGGTCCCGACCGCTCTACTTTCTAAATTGTCTACAATTTAGGACAGTGTAATCGCAACGTTACGATTTAGAACGACCAGTCGGCGCCCGCGCTTCGACCTAAGTGGATGTCTTGACTGCGCGTGCGAAATTTTTTTGCGATGGCGAGTGAAGCGACAGAACTGAGCATTGGTTCGTGTGGCAGCATGGTCACAGAAAAAGAAGTGTTATTACAAATTATAGACCTGTATAGGGTAAATGCCCTATTTGTATAATAAAAATGATGAAAACTATTTAAAAAAAGCAATGTGTGAAGAGGGCTTCAAGGTGTTGTTAAATATTTACAAATACAATAACAAGTATTCCTTAACCCAGCATATTCTCTTTTTTCTTTTTTTAATATCCATTGTTCCCACCACGGCTAAGGCAAGTCCTATTTTCTGCTGTTTTGATAAATACGGCGCCATCGATCAAACGTGCAACCCCGTCGATACTTCTTTTACGAATGTGCTTCGTCACGATTTAGAATTCAGTTTAGTGTAATTTGATCACTAGCTTCCAACTTAGGTTCCCAATTAGATTTTCTAAAAATTGGATAATGTAATAAACGCTTAAGGCTGAAAATCTGACAGAGACGCTCAAGGAGCACCAAGAGGCGTTTAAGGTTGCTTATGAAGAGAATAAGGCAGATAAACAACTGGGTCTGTCGTGCGAAGATGTAGCTGTCATAACATTCTATTTGCAACAATGTTTGCCCACCCCGTACTTGCAAACGAATGTTGCATTTTTTAAGCGACAATTGTATACATTTAATTTGACCATACATGATTCGAAAACAAACAAGGCTTTTTGTTACATGTGGCCGGAGTGTGAGCGTAATAGAGGTGCTAACGACATAGCTTCGTGTTTATACGATTTTATCATAAATCAACTACCAAACTTACACCCAAACGCTAAGAAGCTGATCATGTTTTCTGACTCTTGTTCTGGCCAAAATAAAAATTCGATTGTAACAACAATGTTAATGCTAGTTGCTGGACTATCCCCAAAATTGCAATCTATTGAACATAAATTTCTCATACCCGTCCATACATACATGGAGGCTGACACTGACCATGCGTTGATTGAGCGTAATTACGCTAGCACACAAATATGGATATATACTTGCCAAGAGATTGGTACCAACTAGTGCGTACTGCTTCAAACAATACAGCCAAGTTTACTGTTATCGAAATGACTCATGAAATGTTTTATGATTTCAACATTTTCGGAAAGCAATGTTTTACTTTTAGGAAAACGAATACAGCCAATGAAAAGTTTTTGTGGTTGAACGTTAGATCTGTTCTTTATACCGAAGAAAACATGTCCTGTTTTTTTTACAAAAAAGAGTTCAAAAATTTTGAGTACATGACAATGGATTGTTCGAAACGGGGGAAAACTTATGATAATATATTTACGATTAATATGGTACCGAAAGCTTACCACTCTAAACTTCCTATTTCAACCGATAAGAAGAAAGATCTACTAAATTTGCTATGTTTTATTCATGAGAGCGCTCATGAGTTTTACAGAAGTCTGAGCTGCAAAAATGATGTCAAACACAGTCCAGCGGATAATGACGATGATTCCGATGATGAATAGGTTCTGGTTCATCTAACTTATAGATCGAAAGACTTTGTTATTTTTTTATTGCTTTTTTAACGTTCGTCTACCTACAGGTGGGCATATTATAATAATTTAAAAAGTTTCAATTCTGATTTGAGTATACGTATTTTTTTAGTTAATATTATAATCATTTAAGACGAATAATTATCCATCTCACGGAGTGGAATTTATTATCTACATATCATAGAACACAGATTAAAGTTTGACGTGTTAGAATTTTGATTGTTTGTTATTCCTAGATTTTTAGATTAAGACATGATTGTGATATTTTGTATTGTACTTAGTAGGCATATATTGCTTACCGTGATACGTAAACATAGATCTGTGCCATTTCTTTGATTTTAAGTTTAAAATTACTTGCCAACTTTTATGCAAATGATAAGTTCCTATTGAAAATAGTTAAGCTGCATTCATGTTGTTAAATCGTGATTATTTAATTTCAATTTACTTTTTTAAGAATTTTGATAAATTTGTGCCTTGAATACGAGTGAATCATTCATTTTGAAAAAGTTTAATAAACGTTGATTATTTTTCTAAAAGTTGTATTTATTTACACCATTCATATCTTTTTTGCTGAGGGGTATATCTAACACAATTCAAAAAGACTAGGATCTTAGTAAACTGATACAATTCAGGTAAATTATTTAAATAGGCGACTGATAAAAAAAAATTAAATCTAAACGGTTATATCATTATTTTTTGTTAGAACATTGTGCTAGGATCATTATTCTAATGACTTATTATGTGTTTTAACTTTGTGTATATCAGTTTACACAAGGACAACTTATAGGTGCAACGTAATTTAACCGATTCGTTGCGGCACCAATTTTCGACAACTTTTAGCTGTGGAGGCGAACAAATATTTCACGACACGCCGGGCGTGTCAAGCGCCATTTGTGCCTATTGTGCCATCCGCCATGTGTAAAAGTAATGTTCTTTTTTATGCTTTTTTTTACTTGTTTAGACCTAATTAAGTTTATTTGAAATCAAACAAGTTACAGTGGAAGGATACTTGTTTTTAGTGCGTAACTACGTGTTTTTTTACGCGTTTTCTTTGAAATTGAGAGAAAGTGACTTTTTTATGAAGAGATTACAAACCTTTTGTGCTATTTTTTGTTGTTATAAAAAATCATTTATATAAGTAGGTACAGCTAAATCACCCTGGAAACCTTGGTTTTTATTAAATTAAATTTTCACCTAATAATAACATTTGTAAATAACAAACAATGAAGAACCTTAATTTGAAAAAAAAAGGTATATCATTCATTGATATTTACAAATGTTAAATATTATTTAATGTTATACAAATGTAAAAGTAAAGTCAATCTGATAACGTCTAATTAGTAAGAATAGCAAAACAAGTGTTTTCAAAAGGAAAAAAACACCGGCGCTATACGGCGGCGGATTGACAAAAGACTATTTATTAGCGAACTTTTTTTATGCATGAACGGTTTCGAACTGTTTGAAGCAAAAATAAACCTTATACCATATCACAAGAGCACATGGTACTTCGTAGGTCTATTCGGTCATATGATAGTAATAAGACGGCAGTTCAACCATTTTAAGCAAAATTAAACAATAAGACAAACGCATTGTTTTTTTTTAACAGGAGACTTGTTTTCCAGAAATTTATTTACAACTTGAGTTTGTGAGCGATCGCAATGAGTGCTATTATTTGTTACTTATTAGACAATTTTTCCATAACATGATTTAAAACCCACAAAGTAAAAATAGTACCATGTACACGTTAAAAAAAGGTTGTCAACCCCTAAAAATTTCAAATTTCCAAAATATCCAGAAACGAAGCTGCATGCATGAACCACTCGCAAAATAATGAATATTTTGTTTCTGTACAAGTTCATTTATCACAGCAAAAGGTATAACTCAGAGGTTTTCATGAATTACTTTAAAAATTAAATATATTTACCAAAAAACTAAAATATATAGTGAAAGAGAATATTTTATACTATAAAAGAAGATACTCAAATTCAACCTATCCCAATTCGTTCACGAACAAGAATTTTTTAAATCTTGTTTTTACGCTCTTCACAGGAGGCACGGAATTATACCATGCCTATTTATTTTGTTGTTTATGTATCCTTTTAGAAAAGAGTAAGCTCTTTTCTAAAAGGCTAGCAACCCACCTGCTATTCACCTGGTATTGCAGTTTATCATATTATTAATATTCTTGTTCTCAGAATCTTTGTTTAAATAAAACTCCATTCTTGACTGAAAAATAATTTTATTCTAATTATACTTATTTTAATAATTTGCAGAACCATTTCACAAGCTGCAAATAATATTTTAGGTTTAAAAGGGTACCTAATGGAATTGTCTTAAGTTTAAGTGATACTTTATTTATATAACACCAAACAATCACTAGTAAAGTTCACGATGATGTAAATTTTATAATTAAGTGTAAAACCCAGTCAGCTGGTAGTTCTTTAAAACAAGAAACTTTAAATCAAAATGTATTTAGGTACATTTTGATTTGTAAATGTATTAGAAATGCTGTAAGTCACTAACTCAAACATTATTTTATAGTAATTTTCATCAACACAATATTATATTCTAAACCAGCTTAAAATCATATTAAAAACAAATTTATTTTAAATGTTCTAAATCATATTCTAATCTTTAGCTGGCACTTCAATGACTCGGGGTTTGTCAATAATGCGGGCAGTACGGTTACCCTTCTCTACAATTCCAATGATCCAAGCCTGATAGCCTTCTTGCTTCTCAATGTCTTTGCAATATGCAGCAGCTTGTTCACGAGGGAGACAAATCAGCAACCCACCAGATGTCTCAGGTGCATGTCCTTGAAGTAGTTGAAACATATTGCCACATGCCTTAGCTACAGCTGCCATTTTAGCAATCACTGGTAAATTATGAATAACAAAGGATACTTCGTTCTTTTGATGTGAAGCTAGATTTTGGGCATGTCCAAGAAGGCCAAAACCTGTGACATCAGTAGAACCATGAGCATTGTATTTGTGCATGAGTCTAGCAGCAATACGATTGAGTCTACTCATAGAATCCATAGCACGGTGATATGCTTTTCGTACATCTTCTTCAGAAACCACAAGTTTGATTCGGTTCCAGCGTTCAGGTTGATCAAGCCACTGATGTGCATTTACAGCCACCTGAGTACCGAGAGGCTTTGTTAGCACCAAAACGTCACCCATAACGGCATTATCCGGAACAATATATTCATTTGGCTGACAGATGGTAGTAGCAACCCCACCAATTGTGCACCATGGATTGATTACAGTTTGCCCGCCAGTAACTGAAGTTCCGGCTTCTAACGCAGAATCTTTGAAACCGCGCATGATAAGGGGAATGACAACGTCACGTTCCTTTTCCGTCATTTTAGTAGACACACCGAGTAACATCAGCATATTGTCACACTCCGTAACACCCATAGCGTATAGATCACTCAAAACATTAGCACAGGCAATTTTCCCCATCATGTATGGGTCGTCAACCAGAGGATAAAAGAAGTCGGTTGTTTGCACCAAGCACAAACCACCATGCCTAAGTGGTGTTACTGAGCAATCCAAACCTATGCCGATGCGCGGGATCGCCACATGCATAAATTGATCTTGTTCTTGTTGTGAATAATCTTGTTGCAGCGATTCCACAAGTTTACCGAGCACATCTTGAGGTACTTTGCAACTTCTTCCTTTGAGATCTGCAAACCTTGTCAATCGAAAACTCGCTTCTAAGTCATGAGCCACCGGATCGAATGGCCGACGAAGAGCCAAAGCATTTGGGTTGCCGGCCATTTCTAATTGAGCTGCAGCTAAAGTATCTTGAGCTACACTAGACTGATACGACATATTCTACAAAACCAAAACAATAATAAGATTTCTATGGAGGTAAGTCTAGTAAAACGCCGAAACCGGACACGCCGCCAAAGTGACGCTTGCAAAATGGCGTCTCCTTTACCAGGAAGAAGCCGATGTCAAAATTACTATCAAATACTAAAGAATCATTGGCTGATTAAAGATATAAACAAAGTTACCCTAGTCACTATTGGCTGTTTGGTAGATTAATTTTAAAATGGCCATAGAAAACATACTTTTCAAAATATTAACGTTCCAATTTAAACTATTCAAACGACCAAACAATAATATGGTTAAATAAAATAGGTATTATGTAGGTATGTACCTATCTAAAAATTTATGAAATATTGACAGTTCACCTAAATTATTTATTAAAGTATTATTAACAGAAAAAAAATTACAGAAAGTTGACTATTGGCTTGACATTGACCGCCAGCGAATTTCTGCTCCTTTATATTATTATTCTTTAAATCGGGCTACCAGTTTCACAGTTAAAATCAAGAGAGAAGACAGTAGGGAAAAGTAGTGAAAGTTTCAATGTTGCACTCTTATGGGGAAATTACGAAGATAATATTGATGTTTTATTTCCTACATAACGATTACAGTCCAATTCACCTGACGTCAAGACCGGGACCACTCCATTTATACAATAAGCTCATATATTACAAATTTTGTAATTTTTTAGAGCGTAACAGTGGTTATTTTTAGTAAGTTCCAAAATGGTTCCAAAATAGTTACTCGTTCTGTGAGTGACTGTGGTGTTAATAATAGAAATAACCATTTCACAGGTAAATTCTCAAGACGTCGTCAATGTTATGACGCGTTTATTTTTGGTAAAAAATTTATGATACACACTGTTTAAAATATCGAATGTATTCAATTATTTCGTTAATTTTGATATTTTGGGAAGAAAAAAGTCACGTTGTTGATACTTTGCAAGAATTTGGTAAATACATTTTTATACAAAATATTTTAAATGTACGCTAGGGATTGACTCAACTATGTCAAAATTAATGTCAATATTTATATTGAATCGATAGACTTGGCTACACAACAAGGAGAGGAATGAAAATAAATGCTCAATTTGTGTTCTAAAACTAGTGCAAAATTCATAGTATCATGCTATTTTCTCAAGGGATTGCACGGAGCTTCGGATTATATTACCAAGTCACAATGACAAAACTTGTAGCGTAGTTGGATATAATATATTTAGTAATGCTCTTGAAGCGCCACTAGACGCCCGCGCATGATACGCACGGTTCAATGTGCTAGGATAGTATAAATTCCATAGTATTTGATACTCACAACGCTCGATACCCGAGTCATGCTTGATGGCCGACGACATTGTGCCGAGGGCTTAAATAGTTTGGTTCATCGCCTACAGCGTTAGTCGTAGAGAAGAGGAACTCGTGGTTAAGTAATAGCTGCGCGGGTCAATAGATCTGCGAGAATAAGTTGCACGTGTCAGACCATGAATGAGTAACCATTTTCTTAACATACCGAGATTGAGAGAATAGAGAGTGCATCTGTATCCTCAGACACCTGGTGCATTTTACTCTGTTAAGATCATCATGTTTTTAAAATTCATGCAGCTAAAACGATAATAAGTTTATTATTACTTTATGCTTTTCAGATGGTGATTTTTATGATGAAGCCTCATAAACATATTGGCCTTTAAACAGATCAATCTTATTTAAATGATTCCTACAAGTTTCCTTACTTAAATTATAAAGTTTATATTCATATTTAAGTCGAATGTTAAAATAAACTCCGTATTTAATTATTAAATGTTAGTAATCAACAGTGGTAGAGCCACGCGGCAGCTTTTGCTGTCGTACGGATGGGCCGGCTCGAACCGGGGTGGTACCACGACCTCACAGAATACCAGCGTGAAGTAGAGGTTTACCTCTGCGTTTCGTTTGGTGAGTGCAGGTGGCCGGAGGCCCTTTTTACTGGAAATGAGGCATTCCATCTTAGTCCTCACGGGTGACAACGCATCTGCATTATGATTCGCAAACGAAGATAGATGTAGATATCTATGGGCCGCAGCAACCACTTACCATCAGGTGGACTGTGTGCTCGTTTGTCACCCTTATCCTATAAAAAAAAATAGCAAAAGTAATACTTACATGAAAAATAAAGCAGCCATTATTATATTGTGTTTTTTTATTTCTCTATCTATCTCATTTCTATCAAATATAAATATGTACACACTTAGTTAAGTATCCACCTATTTTTATTAACAGTATGTTAAAAAATAAATTCTGTTGAAACTTACATTACGTACATGGCGGTAAATATTTTTCTCCAAAGATCATAACGCGAAAATACAGCTTTCCGATCTGATTCTTGGGGAGCTTTTTATTTAAGTTTATCGGTAGTCACCTGAGATTTTTATATTTGAATTAAAATCCAACAAAAGGCAAGTAGGTTCAGCTTATTCCCAGGAACATGTTATATAAATATATTTTTTAATTATTTTAGAACTATCATGGTAAAACTTCAGATCATCTATACGCCAGTACACTGTATTAATTTAATTATTATTTATTCGCACATCTGTTAATTAGCCACGAGTTCCTTTACGACTAACGCTGTAGGCGATGAACCACGCTACCAAGCCCTCAGCACACTGTCGTCGGGCATCAAGCACAAATCGGGTATCGGGGGTTATGAGTATCAAATACTAGGAATTTATACTATCCTGGCGCACTGAACCGCTCGTCTCATGCGTGGGTATCTAGCGGCACTTCAGGAGCATTACTAAATATCTGTACCTAACTACACTAAAAGTTTTATCATTGTGACTTGGGAATATAGTTCGAAAATCCGCTCAACCCCTTGGGGAAAATATAGTGATGCTATATATATTGTACTAGAGTGACCGTGAGGTGCGGGTGGTTAAGTAAGGTTACACATTTTTTTGGTCGATAAATAGATACTCAGTTGGGTAATTAATAATTGCTTAAATAGGATAATCTCAAGATTTTATTTTAATTTTTAATATACTACAGTTTTATAATGTATAGTAGTCTATCACTATTTTTCCCTAAACTTTATAAAGCCTTACTGTAACAATATTATACCATAGCCATAGCCATTTCTACATTATTTGTACCAGTAAACAAATAATGTAGGAATGGCTCCTTTTAATAAAATTACTTGTATTCTGCTTCTTTTTTTATATTTCTCAAGAAAATGTTTGCTGCAAATTGTAGAGTTCTTTGGATTCCAACCAAACTGCCCAATCAACCTTATCCATTTTTTTTATTCTACCCATCTGTTTGACAAATGGCAAAATAAAATTACGGTTTTAGAACACAAATTGAGCATTTATTTTCATTCCTCTCCTTGTTGAGTGGGCAAGTCAATCGATTCATTATAAACATTCTAGATAAATATCGACATTAATTTTGATATAGTTAAAAATTTATTCCCTAAAATCATACTAATTATCAATAACGTGTTTTTTTGCATAATATCAAAATTTATAAAAGAATTGAAAGTACTGTATATTTTAAACAGTATTTAACATAAATTTAAATCAAACATAGACGCGTCATTACAGTAATGACATCTTGCGAACATACCTGTGAAATGTGCAACTGTGTGGTATTATTAATTCTATTATTGACACCACATTCAGTCACGGAAAATGTAACCATTTTGAAAATCTATGAATTTTAAACATTAACACTATAAAAATCTAAAAAAAATTACAAAATATCTAAGAGCTTATTTCTTGCGTGCCGACTTGTGCCGACCTGTCATTAAAAATCGGTTATAGAGTCATGATATTTAGTATCCTTTTCTATCTTGCATTTTTGCCATAAGAATTTTTTTTCCCTTGCACACTATTTTCGTCTATCCGCCAGATGTTCTCTAAGTCTATTTCTTGTTACTTGATACTGGCAAAAGTACAATCGTTCAGGTCTATAGCTAAAGAAAAAAGCTGTACCGATGTCAACAACAAATAAAATACCATATTACCAATTTACCAGTCAAAATAGTTTCACAACTTTTTTCATTGGCTAATAGGAATAAACTAAAATAATGTGAAGTCATGATTGGCTCACATGATTTTGATTTGCCTAACTTGTTTGTAGCGTTATTCGAGGAATTTTAAAATAGTCTTGGGCATAGTCGGTCGCCATAGGGAGCGCTCAATTTAGTTCGTAGTCCTATAGCGAACTAGTTCGCTCATTTCGTTTGTTATTTTTAATTTTTCAGTAATCTTACTAAAAGAGATGAATTCATTGAATGTCAATAAATAAAAATTAATTGAATTTACGTTAAAAAATTAATGATTTAATTAGTATGTAATATACTACATAATGTATAATATATGCATGATACTTATCAAGAACTATTTGATGATGTGGACATTAAAATAAAATATAATAAACGAAGCTAAACAAGTTTTTATATTTTTGAAGTGTATTGGATTATTGAAAATAACGCAACTGTAATTTAAAGATTACATGTCGCTAATTAATGTAACATAGTAACACAGTGTAACCTTGATATAACAAACCTCAATATAACGAATTCCTCGGTTTAATGAATTTTTCGAAATTCTCTAGAACTCCCTATAAGAGCTAATGCAAAATAAACGTACTACATTACGAATAGATTTTATCAAAAACATCTTTATATCGAATTTTAATTATTGCGGAATATATAATAGAAGGTATCATTTACCTCTTTTTAACCAATTTTCTCAATTTGAAATCTTGACATAACATATCCTATTAATTATTCCCACTTAATTCCACAATAAATCATGTCTTGGCACTGACTACAGGTAGAGATGACTATTTACGTAATGTTGAGATTAATAAACAAGTTTTCTTACCTTGTTAAAACGCATTGTAGTTCCACCTAACCTCTATATAACAAACCTCATTATAACGAATTACTTGGTATAATAACGAATACTTTCTAATTCCATTCAGTTTCGTCATATTGAGGTTGCACTGTATTCGAGTATTTAATAAAATTAGTAGAAAAAGAAATGTAAAATATTAATTTTAAATAAACTTACCGTAAAATCGAATTGAGACCTTTACGGTATATATGAACTGCTTACTATTACTTTCATATTAATATTGTGAGCCAGCAATATTTGTTATTTGTTGTGAATTGTGTACTAATAAAACTTTAACTATAGATTATAAATTATATACTTTATTAAGAAACTCTGGTAAGAACGGTAAGAATAAAAATAAATCAGTCGGTTAGCCATGCAGCGCCACTCCATAATAGAGTGGACGCAAGAAAAAAAAAAAAATTAAAGAACTAAGAGCGTGATTGTCGACGAACTAGTTCGTATAGTTCACCTAAAAGAGCGCTCTTCCCACCTAGGTCGTTCGCAAACTACCCAAGACTATTTTAAAAATGTCATTTTTCATTTTCAAATTAATTTAAGTGACGGTTACTTTTCTATTTTTATTTTTTGATATATTGTTAAAATCTGTTGAATTTCAATTTGAATATAAAACATAATGAAAATTGTTTGCCATGGCTTCAAATTGTTGGAAGAAGATTGAGAATGAATCTGGATATCCGTGTTACATTAAGTTGGTATTAGATGCATAACTTTCACTTTGTTTGAGTGTTTATAATTATTATTGTAATAAATAAATACTTTTTCCACATATCCAGTGAAACAAATGGTAAACAAGATTATGACCATCCTCATTTTCGTATAATCTTGAAATCTTCGGAGGAATATAATGAAATTAAATACAGCACTTATCGTATAGCATATAAAGTTTTCGCACTACAAAGAAATTTTAAAGGTAAGAAGTTTATAGTAATTTATTAATGTAAGCAGATTTATTTACATTAACATAACACAGTGTTAGAGTAAGATTGTTTTTTAGAATTTGTTTCTAAATGAGCTCTTGTGTATCTTAACACTGACCATTTGGACTATCTCATTAAAAATAACGAAAGCTATTTATACAAGTCTGTCATGGTATGTATTACCTTTCAATGTTTGCATGCCACTTTGACATAGTTTTAAAAGATGTATCTAGCAGTGCAAATAATGGTGATATTATATGTATAAATACATAAACATAAAAATAATGGCAATTATGATTTCCACCAGAGTTACTCAGTTTTACTGTAAGTTCATATCCTAATATACTACGAGTGCTAATAAGATAAAATTAGTTACATATCTATAGTATGGTGGTGTATAATATAATTATTCAACCTAGTTGACTGATTAAACTGACTACAGCCCATCACAAGTCCACTTATGAAAATAGGCCTCGCCTATAGATTGACACAAATTACATTCCTGAGCCACCTTTATCCACTGACTACCTATGTCTTTCATCAGGTTATCACTATTTCTATTGGTGGTCGCTCAATACTACAGTGTAGAGTGATCACCAATAGCTTTCCAGTATGAGCTGTCACTCAAGAACCTTTTTTCTCCAATGGCTGTTAGTTCTTTGAGCGATATGGTTGGCCGCTACTTTAGCTTAATGATCTGCGGGGCTTTGTCAGTTACTCTTGTTCTACTGTGGATATCTTTGTTAAAAATTATGAGTTTAATTGGAATCACCATAATATAGAATTTTTGTTTACTTTCTCATTTAAATAAACAACGAAGGTCAAGTCAAACATATTATAAATTATATATGTATATGTTTTTCAGTACCGCCTCTCCGCATCAGCTCAGGAGTGTTTGCTAGACACCAATTAAGTCTCTCGGAGAGCAGTCTCTCACTGGATACTGCCGAGCTAGAAGCAGTGTTAGCAGATATTTATTTTGCAGCAGAGAAAGAAGGCTTGTTTTCAGGAGATGTAGACTTAACAGTTGACTTGCTGATTAATTTGCTGCTCAATGTTTATGATGAGTGAGTTATAAATATTTATGAATAAACTAATAAAAAATAAAAAAACTATATCCTAAAAGTTAGCTTTAATCAAGAAAAATATAATAATATAGTGGGGCAATGGTGACCATCTGGTCCATGCTCTACATAAGCTATCTATCATACATATTGCCTAAAGCAATTCTGAAGGTGTTAATTATAACAGAAGTTAATATTTCACATTTTTTTCATTTTTAATTTCTTTTTTATTTAAACATGTTTTTATCCTACAAGAATATGTCAGCCTTATCATGCCATATTCACACTTTATAAGTAAGAAAAGGGGCTTTGCAGAGTGTCTTCTTTGACTAGGAATTTTAAGCTGACCCTTCTTATCTATTTCTGTTGACAAGCTGCAGTGCACCCAGTGCTGTAATCAGACATAAAGAGCCTCACAGTAAGTAAACTATAGACTGTGTGGCCTTTCAACTTAGGCTAAAATATATTTACTATATGTGTGTTTTTTATTTTTAGGTATTATAACCAATGCATGTTATGTCTTGCAGAGAAAGGAAGATACCGATACGAGTTTTAGCCGTGAAAACACTACTCATTCTTCTCAGTGAGGAGTCAGTATTAGAGAAATGGTTAGCACTGGCAAACTGTTGCGCTGACCACAATGGCTGTGTGTCGCCGCGCCGGCTTGCTGCATTACTGTCTTACGTTACTGCTCTCTCCAAGTATCTGGGGAGTAGCTGTGATCAAATACAGGCTGATGTTGATGCATGCTTTTACAAGGTAAGGGACCATATAACATGTATCAGTAAAGAAGAAAGGAATAATTGTTTTATGTGATAAGGGGTCTAAACAAATGTGGCATTTGAAATAAATACATCAATTTCATTTCCGTTTTTTTTTTTAATCGGTTAATCATTACAAGGAGAGGGAATTGTTAGTGTGTTTGTGTGACAAAGGAGAGGGAGAGGTCCAAATGTAATAAATAAATATCAACCAAAAATTCTAAGCTGCTTACTTCAATTTTGGCTAATTTGACTATTTAGTATCAAACGAAACAGAAAAAACTACACAAACTCAACCCAGGTTATAGATTTCGCGCCGCAATCTTTTATGCTAACTCCACACGTGCCAAATCACGCGCGAAATCATGTTAACTCCCGCCATTCGACGTTGCGTAAGCAGTACTATCAGTGTTTCCAAGAGTTTTATTCTAAAACATAAGGTTTTTTGCAGCTTGGCACGTAACTGGTATTTTATGTAAAATGTAAGTACTATCCTATAACATGTTTATAATTTTGATACATATATATTAGCATAATTGATGCAAAAGCACAAACGAAATATAAACTTGCATGTTAAGGGAGTTAGCATAATTTATTTCTTACTTTTTCATTTATCGTTTAGGAGTTGGATATTTTTATTTTTTACATAAGCATTGTTGTTTTGCTATTTTAACACTATTCGAAAATTAAAGAACCTGTTTAAGGTTCTTTAATGTGTTTGCTTTTGTAATGGTCTTCAACATCACAGTAGTAGCGATAAAAATATTTTGTTTTTGTGTAATCCACAGATTGATTGCTTCAGATAGAACTAGGAAGCTTATCAGTTTAGCTTTTAATACGGAATAACAGAGCAATTTTCTTACTATGCAACAATAATTATTGCTTAATAAAGAAGATAACATTATTCACAATAATTTTGATGCTGAGATCAGAACAGTACATACACTAACACATTAAACAATGTTATTAATATGATTGACTACCCTACTTAATCTATTTTAAATCAACCGTTGGAAGATAACAAGACAACATTACTCGCTAGTAGAAAATGCATAGATTGAATTAGTTGATGTTCCTGATTTTATTACTATATTTGACACACCTAGTGAAAAAGTAAACATAATTAGCAATATAAATTTTTTAGAAATTAATGATAATGTTATGGTTACGATTCATCAATGCCAGAAAAATTTAATAATACTTATACAATAATAATATACAATTTCAGTGATAAATTAGGCCATCCTTAATTAGTTCCATACTCATCAAAATCAGAAAACGATAGTGATACTTCCTTGCCTAAGAAAAGTAAATTCAGATAAAGGCGATCTCAATAAAATAAAAATACATGATTTGCAGAAAAAAAAAATTGCGTGAAGAAGGCTCTCAATATTATGGCAAAATAAAAATAAATAAATATGGGTCTATGAAAGTTTAAGAGAGCCAAAGTGTTTAAAAGACAGATGCAAATGTACCAACAAAACAGGCATAATTAAGTGTGGCATTGTAAGAGATGAAGAAAGAATCAAAATATTCAACCAATTACTTTATTAACCGTTAATGATACTATTCAGTCAGTTCCAACAAAACATCAAAGGGATCGAAAAGTGTCTGATAATTCTCGATGAGCACAATCATTCAAGTATAATTTTAAAACTGCTGATGGTAATTATGTAAGAGTGCAAAGCTATGTTTACTATGCTTGGAAAGATAGAATGAAAGATAATTCATGACATTCCTAGTCAACTTAGAGTTACTAAAGATAGAGCCCTTTTGCAAATGGGCAAAAATCAATGGTCGAATGTTTTGACTCTCTACCAACAATGGAATCCCATTACTGTCGAGCTTCGTCTTACAAAAAATATCTGCAGTCGTTGGAAAACAAAAATGGAAGTGTATAAGTTTTACGTATCTGACTGGTGCAAATTGCACATCATACAACTGCTATCTAAAACTACTTTCTTTGAGGTTATATCATCGAAAAATCTGTTTAGACCCAAAAAGGACGAATGTGAAATATGTGAAAGGTATTGAGCTGGGGCAATGGAAGAACATGATTACCAATTACATGTATTGAAAGGTGAAGAATTTAGAAAACAAACACAAACAGATAAAGAGAATAACCTTTCGACTGCAGAGACTCTAACCGCCCTACTCCGTTGACTGCGGAGCTGTTTAATAAAATGGACGGCTGATTGGGCGCAGTCAATCTTAACGCAAATTTCTCGATTCTGGTATATCAAATACTATAATATGTATACATTTCTGAATTTAATTAAACTAATAAAAAACTTTGTTTCATTGAGAAATAACCACTAACTGTTTATATTAAAATAAAAAATAAATAAAGATTTTAACTATTAAATATAAAAATATATTAAAATAAAAATATTTAAAAAATATATTAATATTTTCTACTTTTCTTTTTTAATAAATTGTTTAAAAAAAATCCGAAGTCTTGTGTTAACACATATGGCACATTCAAATGCCACATCTAGTTTTCCCTAAAACATCGAATGATCATGAAGTCAAAGAAAGCTCCGTTTGTCTGCTAGTTTCTTTACAAATCTAACAATTCAACCGAATTTGAACTTTATGCAGTATGGCAAACTTTAGTTCCTTATTTCGCCACCGGCAAAACAGATAACTAGAATCCACAACTGCGGGCGTCTCAGAAATGGACACCATTGCACCTATTGCGTATTTACATTGAAATATTGAAAATATTGCACTTTATCCTCATTTTCATATATTAAAAATGTGCATGATGAACTATTACACATATTTTAACAGAAAACTGACAGTAAACACTAAAATTTTACATACATTTCAAGTCAACTTTCCGCAACCTGCATGTTAGTTCTAAGATAGCGGTTTGCTTCATACAAATTAAAAAAACATTTCACACTTACAAAATGAGATAGAACACAAAATGAGGTTACAAATAGTAAGATTAGTTACCCAGGCATTGTTTTAACATAATTTTAACCACACAATCAATCAAGATTTGTACGAAATAATTGCAAACAACTCCGATGTTAGCGCGCGTCAATCAAATCACACTGACGGCTGACTCAAGGGACAGACGAAATCAACACACGATATAGATATAAAATCCTACTAAAGTGTGTAAGCTGTGGAGTTTTTATGCTATCCTTTTTTATCCTGTATACATCGACATATGGTAGAATGAGTTAGAAATAGTGCTTAATGCTTTGTTTCGTCATTAAAAAGCAAGTAAAAAATGTCTAACACTTTGACACCCGCAGTCAACGGAGATATTTTCGTGTCCAAGTGTTAGACATCCGCAGTTGAGAGGATATTTGTTTACAGTAGATCTTCAAGCAGTTTTAATGGCATCTAAAGCTGAACGCACATATGTCCGCGCCGTACGCGCCGTACGCGCCGAATTTTAGAATTCGTTGTATGAAATCATATGAAACCTCGCACACTACACCCGCACCGTACGCGCCGAATTTTATAAAATGCGGTAGGTATACGATATCGAAGGACGAATGCTGATGACGTCATATAACGCGGCGCGTTTGGCGCGAGTGGATACTCAGTGTTGTGTAATGTTGCCAACTTCGTGGATTTTCCACTAAAACTGGTGGTTTCGACTTTTGTTTCGAATTATATTTTTTAAGTGTTAAGTGTACACTGGTTGGTTGATTTCCTCTGGTTCAATTGGCCTTCTATATCTTGAGTTTTCCATAGAAAGGTATGGTTTTAATATATGTAACAATTCTTGAAATTTCTTGTATGTTAAATGCAAATATCTAAAAAATCGTTCATCATCATATAACAAGTCTTTAAATAAAGTATGATACTCTCCATACAATTGCCTTTTTAAATTAATATTATGAATCCAGAATCTTCTTTTTCTTCTAATTTTGTTTTCTTCTTCCTCTGCCAATAAACAGGCTATTACAATATTTTTTTCCATAGTGATTCCGAGCGATAAATGTTTTCAATCTAATCTATCTAATGTACCGTTTCACACCAGTGGTTGGAAAAAACTGCAAGAGTTGTTGGCAATCCAAAATATTTGCGTACGGCGCGGGCGGTGCGTGCGTGCTAATGTGCGAGGCCATCAGGAAAATTCGGCGCGTACGGCGCGTACGGCGCGGACATATGTGCGTTCAGCTTTAGTCAAATGTTTGTAGCACATTGTACTACAAAACAAAGCTTCAAGTGCATAATTTGTACTTTTATAATAATAACAGCAAATATGGCTAATGTTTTGTATGAAACGAAACGGAAGGTGGGCTTAATGCAGATGAGTTTGCTTCTGTTTGGATAGATTTTGATAATTTGGATTTATTTGAGGAAAAGATTTCATCAATTTTTTTTTTATAGGATCGGGTGTCAAACGAGCACACAGTCCACCTGATGGTAAGTGGTTACTGTGACCCATAGACATCTACATCTATCCTCAATATAGACTCAAGATATCACCCGTGAGGACTAAGATGGAATGCCTCTTTGCCAGTAAAAGGGGTCTCCGGTTCTCTACACTCACCATACGAAACACAGCAGCGTCAAGTTGCTATTTTACGCTGGTTTTCTGTGAGAGCGTGGTCCTTCCCCGGTCGAGCCGACCCATTCGTGCTACAACCATAATATAGCTGCAGCGTGGCTCTATCACGTAGTAAGTGTAAAACAAAACAGATATACGTATTATTATTTATTCTGATTGCTGTGTTTATCAAAATCGTAATGTGACTTTGTCAAATGCGCTTCTAAATATGGCAGTTAAAAACAAAATAACTATCGATCAGAAATATTTAGAAGTCTGCCATACACAAATGGAAGTGTATGCTATGGATTCTTTAATAGAATGGAAAATGCGTAATAGAATCATAAATGTTCCTGCGGACTACGTTCAAATTATTGACTGTGCACAATAATCCATTTGATGTCGAGTATTTGGAACATACTTTTTTCAAAGATTGCCGTAATATTTCAAGCTACAAAAGCATTCGCCCTGGACGATCAGCGGGAAACCCTAGTCACCGATATTCGCGCACTCATGTATTGTCCATTGGGAGAAAATATAAGTTGCGGTATGAAGAGCCATGTACGCTGCTGCTCCAAAGGAAAGGACCTTTTTCAGCAAAAAGTTTTGAGGAAATACAAAATTTGCACCAAACCAGACTGAAAATTAAAGCTCGAAAATACGATGACCTTCAGCAAATTAAAGAAGTCCTGCCAGCAGATTACAGAGAATTTTCTAACAATTTACCGCATGATTAAAGGTCGTAATTGTTGGTGACAATAATGTTCAATTAATTTTTGTGAATTTGTTTTTTATTATTCCTCAAAAGCAGTATTGTTGGGAGAATTTAGGGTATTTATTTGACGATATATTATTTCATCGATATGAATACATATCGATTTGAAATTTTGTTGATTTTGTTTTTGTTTTTGTGATTGAATTTTGTTTTAAAAAAATATTTAATTTAATGCGAGAAAAGCTATTAAAAGCATGTATGAGATGGACTTTATATCCTTAAAAATAGATTTTAATTGTAATATTTTATGGTAAATCAGCATTGGAACTGTTATTCGAGTTCCTTTCACATTAAATTGATGGGTAAAAGTTTTTACCTTTTAAATGTGTGCCCTACATTTTAAATACTTTCCTATTTTTAATTTCATCAGTTTGTACAATAACATCCATGTATATCCACCATCGTGTAGGTGCAGTAGAGGAAAACAGCACTGGAGATGGTCTGCATCGTTTTTCTGATATCAACTCAAAATAAAAAAAATGCAGTTGCCAACCTGCTTGCTAAGCGAGCCAACCTATGGCGAGGTCTATGTTCAGTAGTGTACTTTTGATAGGGTGTGATGGTGATGATGATACTCGTATACCATGTAGTAAACGTATCCTGCAGCATAATATGTCTGCTGAACTAATTGGTAGACTCCACCATAGTCCAGGAGAAACCACCATAGCGCATGAGTACCGAAAACTATGCCACCTCAATTTTTCTTCATATTGTCCCATTGATAATATAAAAATGCATTTTGCCATGGGGCAACTTGGTGCCATATTGTTTAAACCGATTTTTTTTCAATTGCAAGGAATTGTTATTTTCAGACGGGACATTTTTGCATGTTTTATTTTTTGATGAAATACGAGGGTGGATTGAAAAGTACTCTGCCTAACACAGATCCATTCAATTCTAAAAATTAATACTACCCACATTATTTAGTTTAGTTCAGACTAGTTCATTCTGTGAAGTTCGAAACGTGTGCGATAATTAGTTGTGATTTTATAAATTTAATAACAAAGTAATCGGACATAATTTCCGCGAATGGAGCAAATCGAGCAGCATGCCGTCATTAAGTACCTCCATAAGAAGGGGCTATCATCAAAAGCCATCCATGATGACATGGTCAGTACATTAGGCGATTGTGCTCTGTCATATTCATCCGTCAAAAAATGGATAGCAGAATTTAAGCGTGGTAGAGAGAGTGTGAAAGATGAACCCCGCTCTGGAAGGCCTTCGACGTCAACTACTGACGAAAATATTAAAAAAGTACTTGATTTAATAATGGGAGACCGCAGATTAAAAATTAGAGAGATAGCCGAGATTATAGGCATCTCTTATGAACGAACTCAAAACATCATTGTCAACGAGTTGGGTTTCCACAAGGTGTCTGCGAGGTGGGTTCCGCGATTGCTTTCAGTTGAACAAAAAAGGACGCGATTGACTATTTCACGCAACTGTTTGGAGTTATTTGAAGCCGATGCAGATGATTTTTTGAATCGTTTTGTTACTATGGACGAAACATGGGTTCATTACTGTACACCGGAAACAAAACAACAATCAAAACAGTGGAGAAGACCTGGTTCACCACCCCCTAAAAAGGCTAAGTCGATTTTGTCGGCAAATAAGGTGATGGCTTCAGTATTCTGGGACTCGAAAGGTGTGATTATGATTGATTATCTTGAAAGGGGTCAGAATATAAACTCTGATTACTACTGCACCTTACTACGTCGTTTACGAGAGGAAATAAAAGAAAAACGTCGAGGAATGCTCAGAAGAAAAGTCCTGTTTCATCAAGATAACGCCCGTGTTCACACGTCAGTACAGTCAATGGCTGAAATTCACAACTGTGGCTTTGAACTGTTACCGCATCCGCCGTATTCACCTGATCTGGCACCATCAGACTTCTTTCTGTTCCCTAACCTAAAAAAGCACTTGGGAGGTCAAAGATTTTCGACAAACGACGAGGTCAAAGCAGCTGTAGACGCATATTTTGACTCTAAGGAAGAATCATTTTTTTTCAACGGTCTAAATGCTTGGAAAGGGAGGTGGCAAAAGTGTATTGAACTTGATGGTGATTATGTAGAAAAATAAAAATATAACTGATTTAGTATTTGTTTATTTTCTTGGTTAGGCCGAGTACTTTTCAATCCACCCTCGTACAAATAAAATAGGTCCTATGACTACGATAAAGTTTTAATGAGTCAAAAAGTATCCGAATTCGGGATTTATCAAACTTTGAAAAGTTCGTAACTACGAAAATATTAACTTTATTGTGATATGACCTTTTTTATTCGTATTTCAACAAAAAATATAAAGAAAAATATATTTTATATTTCATTCTTTTTCTTTGAGTATTTTTAATGGGTCAAAAGTATCCAAATTTGGGATTTTTCAAAAACGGGTTGGCAACCGCAGTTTTCTATTTTTAGTCGTTATTAGTTAGCCACTGCTGCCCATCTCCTGTTTCAGTTTCCCTATGTCGCCTCTTACGATACCCACGGGACGATATGGGGTAGTGTATATTCTTATACCGCCACTGCACGGCCTTGTAATATGTGCATATAAACATTTTGTTATGCAATATACCTAGTCAGGTCATAAGTATTGTCACACAGTAAAAACTTTTCTTTTAGAATGCTGGCCACTAAAAAGTTTATTGAATTCGAATTTCGAATTGTTCATGAAAATACAACTGTATACTTTTTAGAATTTTACTCATTTTTAAATATGGAGTGGACGCTTAAAGAAGACCGTGTTGCAGTTATTGCGTTGCATCGTTGCGGTTACGCGCCAATTCAAATTTTTGACATACTGAAAAATTTGAATATAACCAAAAGATTCGTTTATCGTACCATGAAACGATACAATGAAGACTCTAGTGTAGATGACAGGTCAAGAAGTGGTCGCCCTCGGTCTGTTAGGACTCCAGCAGTGATAAAAGCTGTGAAGGCGCGAATTCAAAGAAATCCCAAACGTAAGCAGAAACTGTTGGCCCTTCAGATGGGGTTAAGCAGAACCACGGTAAAAAGGGTGTTAAATGAAGACTTAGGGCTTCGGGCATATCGAAGAAAAACAGGACATCGTTTAAATGCTCGTCTAATGGACCTGAGACTGAAGAGATCCGCGCTTTGTTGAAGCGGTACGCGGGAAAAAATATCGGGAAATTCTTTTTTCGGATGAAAAAATTTTTACCGTAGAAAAGAGCTACAACAAACAAAATGATAAGGTGTACGCATAGTATTGAAGACATAGTAGTGAAGAAGCGAGCAACCGTATTCCGCGTGTCCAACGACGTCATTTTCCATCCTCGCTCATGGTATGGTTGGGAGTTTCTTATTGGGGCTTAACAGAGGTACATTTTTGTGAGAAATGTGTAAAAACGAATGCAGTTGTGTATCAAAATACAGTCCTGACGAACCTTGTGGAACCTGTTTCTCATACCATATTCTATAACAGGCACTGGGTATTCCAACAAGATTCGGCGCCAGTTCATAGAGCGAAGACCACACAAGACTGGCTGGCGGCGCGTGAAATCGACTTCATCCGGCACGAAGACTGGCCCTCCTCCAGTCCAGATTTGAATCCGTTAGATTATAAGATATGGCAACACTTAGAGGAAAAGGCGTGCTCAAAGCCTCATCCCAATTTGGAGTCACTCAAGACATCCTTGATTAAGGCAGCCGCCGATATTGACATGGACCTCGTTCGTGCTGCGATAGACGACTGGCCGCGCAAATTGTAGGCCTGTATTCAAAATCACGGAGGTCATTTTGAATAAACTTTAGTGTCATAAGAATCTATGTTTTGTTAAGTTCATTTTGGTATATAAATGGTTACATAATGAATAAACTTGTTTCAATTATTTTATATTAAACATGTGACAGAATTTATGACCTGACTAGGTATATTAACATTTATCTGAACAAATGAATTTCAGGGTGCAGGCATGTTGGGCGTCAGTGCGCGGGCTGTGGCTGAATGGGGTATACAGAACTGTGCCAGTGCTAGATGGCTTCCTGTCTTGCAACGCATTGTGGTTAGCCGTAAATGTTCTCATTCATCTGTAACTTGTGCATCTTGCACTCAACCATTAACACAGGTAATTTTGAAGAGGATGTTTTTAAACATTTTGCAGTCCGCATAACATGTTAGGCGTTAATTTTTATAAAATTATCTATACATACATCATTTTTGTTATAGCATATTATGAAGTTGTAGTAGTTCTTGTGTGCATTTGACATTGTTGTGCTGTAATCTATTGCTAACGTTTAAGGCTTTAAATTGAATTGCTAAGGTTTATTAACATATCATATTAGATAACGGTCACATGTATTGTACTTTAGGCACAATGATATATCCTGCATAGTCATAATTTCTTTAGATTAGGCATTAGCCTAATCAAGATTATATTAATAATCTATTTATTTAGTAAGGACTAAAAAATGCAGTTGCCAACCCGCATGGCAAGTGTAGCAATTATGGAAAATATCCGCCCTATGAGGCAATATATGGAGGAGGTCTATGTTTGGCTGTGGGTTTCATAGGCTGTGATGATGATGATCAACCTATTTTCAATACCCTGATTTAGGTCTGTCCTGATAAGGTCGTCCCCACTAGCACCAATGAAATTGTTAATTGAAATTCAAACCACTGTTTAAACAAATGTCCAGCAGTACAGTAAAAGATTGTGGGGAAACCGTATGTCTGGAAATTTAATATTTTAAGGCGAGTAAGGTGTCGTCAACACACACTGGTGTAGTGCGATGGATTAATTGCTCTATACAGGGTTATTTTTCAAAGAGTACCTTAATTTTAATACTTAAGATCAAATATATAAATAATGATAGACCGTTATTGCAGTTTTTGAAAATACGAGTAAATAAGGCTTCTAATTTTATTTTAAATTATCCCGAATTGAATGTGATTTATGGGCTACAACTACGCGTATGCGCGCTCCTCTGTGTGCGATTCAGTTCACAACGTTTTTGCCGACCGATCGACCCTTACGAATGTGTTCGTGCGTATTAAAATAGTAGGCGTTAGATATTTATGAATGACAATCAGTTAAAATAAAGTATTACCATGCATTCTGAATTTAAAAGATAAAAAGGAGACAATGTTTGAGATTTTTTAAATTAAGTTATCTTCACCATTCGCGTATATTACTTATTCTGAACCTTCTCTGCAATTTGGCCGTATATTGCAAAATAACCCTGTATAATGTGCTATAACCTGTAACTTTAGATACTTATAACTTATAAAATTATATGAGTATTTTTTCAGGTTTTACAATTCAAGTGTTCAAAATGTAGCAATGTCTACTTCTGTGAGAAGTGTTACTTATATGACAAGGATATGACATTAGTAACAGGACATAAGAAGACACATTTAGTTCATGAAATTATTGACGGCGAGGTAAGAGTGTAATAATGCCTTAGTAAGTTTTTTAATTCTTCTGATATTTTTGTAAAAAAGCATATGTGTTACCTACATAAATGCCAAGCAAGGTCGCTGTTCGTTAAAGAAATCCTGTACTCCTTATGTTCGCGCCCAAACGCTGGTTTCAAGATTTGACGCCGGAGAGCGCTCGGCTCGATGCGGTGCGTTCATAACTGGTTAGACGAGTGGGTGGTTGGCGGGAGTTAGTTGCTACCGGCAGTCGGGTCGAGTCCAACAGTAGCTCGCTGGCAGCGGTGCGGTTAATCCGCGTATCTCGGTTATCGCTGCAGAAGTTTCGCGCGACCGGTGTACGGTCTAGATTGCTAGATTTAGTGCGTGTTACTTCGCTACGTAATTGGGGTTTTGTGAAAACCGCCTCGGTTTAGGTTGTCTAGGTTTTAAGTTCTTGACAAGAGGCTTGTATTGTGTTTGACTGATTAAACTAGGTTAATTTTGAATTCTTATTGCGGCGTGGTGTTTAATATCGAACGAAGGAACTTAGTTGTGTTTGTAACGCTGAACCGTGTGACTCATGAAGAGATCGCGTTGGTTCCCTATTTGTAATATGAAGATAAATGAATCCGGGACATTGAATGTTGAACTTTGAACTACTGTCCGTTACTGTGTCGGGTATCACGTGTTCGATTCTACGATGAACGTTGAATTGGTCGAGTTGAAGTTAGTTAAATGTACAATAAAGTTAATAGACTGAAATAGTGACAATGAAGAAAGAACCTTTCCATGGTGGACGCCTGCTGGAGTGATGCAGCATTGTGGGGCAGCATGGAAACCGTCGCGCTGCCAGGTCACCTCAACTGGGCCAGGTCACCCTCATATACACACCACTAAACACCACTTTACATGCATATACTCTACCTACGGCCTGACCGAGCCTTGGGGCGGTCTTAGATTCGGATGTAGGTACGTACCATTTATTTTCCTAGCCTTCTCCTTATTTTGTAGTATGATAGGTCAAGTTTCCATATGGCCATTTGAGCCCGAACCCTCGGCTGCCCGTCGAAGAGGCTACTATGGGCCCTAGCCAAGGCGACCTTTGCAGGGGCAGCTGTGGGCCTTAACACCTTACATATATCCCCCCTAAGAGGCAATCTATGAGAGAGGCATATGTTCAGCAATGGAAGGATATAATGAATGAATGAATGAATAAAACTTCTCACAAGCCGTCCAGGAAGTTGATGCTGCAGGTGGATTTCGGTTATGCTTTGTGGTTATTAACAGTCTATGGCACTACAAAAATATTTATATATGTTGTTTAAAATCTTAATAATATATTTGTTATAGTCTTTGCGTTATAGCATGGTGCTGGTGAGACAGCTTACACTTTTGGCGTGTCTAGAGATGTAACATTGTTAAATCGATTTAAAAAAAGCGATTAACGATACACAAATCAAAGCAAAAATTATCGATGTAAAAATTAAAACCGAAACATATATGTCTTTAAAAACTACAATGCATGTAAAATTAAGTTAAAGTTTAATACAAATTATGACATAATAGTTACATAATAGCAGTTCCCGGACCTCGCCCGCTTGGTATTTATTACGATTGGATTTCATGGGTTTTAATTTTTTGCGTGGATTCCTAATTTTTTTTTTCTAAAATAAAATTAGCCTATGTTAATCCTTATAACATCAGCTATCTGTCAGTGCCAGTTAAGTCGGAACAAACAGACAGTAAGACAAACATTTTAATAATTGTTTTTGTATTTTTGTTAGAAATACCGTATATATACTTTCATATGTGTTTATTAAAATGTTATTTTGATATTACAAACAGACACTACAATGTATAGATTATACTATGTAATAATTTGAAAATAAAAATCATCTTTTATTTCATGTTGATGGCAACATTCAGATTGACATTTAAACAAATAAAATGGCTGCCAACATTTGTAATTTTCAGTACGGCGTAGGCTGCACCTGCAGCTTTTCAAGGTACGGCGGCTAGCGCCTTTTGCCACATGTGTATTAGTTTTGTCAGGTCCACTCTCAAAATATACCAGTGTAAACTGGCAGCTTAATGCTTTTTTTGTTTGTATGATGAGTGTAGAGAACCTGAGACCATTTTTACTGGTAACCAGAATTTCTATCTTTTCTCGGGGTGAGAACACATCTACATTTTATACATGCACATTTTGATTCTAATCGATCAGGTGTACTGTGTGGTCGTTTGTCAACCTTGGTCTATAAAAAACCTTACAGCATGAGATGGAGTCTCTTATATAGTCACCACATAGTGAGATACCATACCTGTAGATTTTTTTCGATATTTTTTTTTATAGGATAAGTGTGACAAATAGGCACACAGTCCACCTGATGGTAAGTGGTTGCTGTGACCCATAGACTTCTACATCTGTCGTCGATTATAAACCAAAGTTCAGATGCGTTGTCACGAGTGAGGACTAAGATGAAATGCCTCATTTCCAGTGAAATAGTTCTCTGGTTCTCTACACTAACCATATGAAACAGCAGCGTTAAGCTGCTATTTTACGCTAATATTCTGTGAGAGCATAATCCGTTCCCATGGAGCCGACCCATTCGTGCTACGATTATATCTCTGCATCTACCACATATAAAATATTACATTATAAAAGATTACGTAGATTTACATTTATTTTTCTCTTCCAGGTGAAACCACCCGAATGTTTAGGTTTTATAAAGGGCATGAAACGGTTTTTCTTTTGCACGAAAACAAAAAAGAGGAAGACTAGCAAAAAAATTTCTAAGAAGAGTATAGACAAAGTTGGCAACCCCGGATCCATCCGAAGAAGTAAGGAAGAGAGGCAGACCATCTTCACATCTACAGTTGGCAAAGCTTCTGGAAGCAACGCAAATAACCCAGCTACTACATTGCAAGATATTATCACGCAGTTGGAGACGCAAAACAAGTAAGAATAGTTAGTAAAACCTTGTCACCAAGCTGAGAGCTCCGCATAAATATATTGCCGTTGCGTTAGTTCAATCTATACAAAAAAATAAAACATGCCAGTCTGTTTGTAATGTCAAAATAACAGCTTTTTACTAAATGCACATGAGCTTTTTACTAAAAGTATATACGGTATTTATAACACAATTTTTTAAATTTTTGTCTGTCTGTCTGCTTGTTTGTTCCGGTTAATCTCCGAAACGGATGGATCGATTTTGACGGGACTTTCACTGGCAGATAGCTGATCTTATAAGGAGTAACTAAGGATACTTTTACTTTAGAAAAAAATAAAAAAAATAAAACCCATGAAATCGTAGTAAATTTCACGCAGACGAGTGAATGTTATAAGGAGTAACTTAGGCTACTTTTTTTTTAGAAAAATAATTAGGGTTCCGGGCCAAAAAAAATAAAACCCAAAATCCAAAACCGCGTACGGCGCTCGACTGCGCAGGTCCTAGCGCAGGTGGGTGTGTTAGTCCACCGGATACACCCACTCTCTCCGGCGGAACCGTCCCCTCCTCCTTTCTCATCCGGGCTTGGGACCGGCAATGGCGGAGTTCAAATCGGTTGTAAATTTTTCTTAGTGTCCTCTTAGGACCCTCATGGGGTGAGGGAATCTCTTATGCTTCTATCACTTGGCTAACATAATGCTAAATAATTTTTTCCAGAGCACTTAAAGAGCTATCAACGCAGTTACAAAATACAGTGAAGGACTCTGAGGATAATTTAAAAGTAAAAGTGGACACGCACTACTGTTTAATATCAACACAGATTGATAGGCTAAAAGCTTTAAAGGTAAACTATAAATATTAATTCTGTTTTTCAAATTCTATATTAGTATATTTATATGGTCTGTTCACTAAGATAGTGTTTTTGCCATGATACATATAAATAAAAATAATCCATATGTGGGCAATCCGAGAATAGTTCAAGCAAGACTCAATCTTATGGCCATAGGCATTGAGACTTCACTTTTGTATCTATAATTAATCCTCTTCTCGAATTTTCGCATTGAAAGAGGGGAATGTTTGAAGGAACCAGATTGGGCGAGAATGTTCTGCCTTATTCTCATCGGATATGAAAGCGTACGCCGGCGTACTTAAAAGTATTTTAGGCAACGATGGCGAAAATTACTTCGAAGATCTGCTGAAAGCAACTAAAAAGCAAATGAAGTACGGCATCTGCGAATAAAAAGGACCTCTGTGAAGAAGCTTAGTGATTTTGGACGCCGTAATGTACAATCATAGTGTGTGTGTTGAAAATACCATGTTTTCTCATCCCAATAGGCATTTCACTCATCACAAGCGTATCAATAGGTAGTTATATTGTTTGTAATAACGATAAAATTATTTACAAATATTTTTAGGAAAACCTGGCACCCTCCGACATTCCATTAGAAGCAACAAAGACCGAAAAGGTCGAACGTCCACAAGCATTTGATCTCTTCAGTCCAATACAGGTTGTAGATGAGAAACAATCAAAAATGCCTGAGAATCCTAAGAACCAACCTCGAATACTTAGTATGGATTCTGGAAATTTCTCGGTGATTTCCAAACAGACGGACACTCAGAACTTACTTACAATGTCAGGAGATGCACTGAAACCTATTGTGGTACATGCCACTTCTGATAGCATATCTACTGTATCCATGAATGATATGAGCAATTGGTATAATGGTAAGTAAAATTTTCTGTATGGTTTTTGTGAAAGTAATATCATACATATTATATATAATGTGTTGTTTTGCTGAGGGCTCTGGGGTTGATTTCCAATAATCCAAGTGTTAGACAGCTCAGGAACATAAGTGAATCGTCGAGGTCACCAAAAATTAACTGAAAGTAAGTCATAAGGCCTAAATTAAATATACTCAATTTGTTGCTTTTGAAGGGAAAACTTCTTTAGGCATGTTGTGTACTTTTTGGGATGGAAGCGCTGAACTCGCGTGACCGTCACGGTCAGATACATATACATACACAATAATCATTCTTTTTCATATAAAACAGCGCAATAAGTGAAAACTATTACTATATTAATATGTTGATAAAAATAATTCCTAATAAAAATACTTCCTAAAAATATTTCTTAACCGAAAAATAATGTTTATAAGTTTGTGAAGCTAATGGTGCCTTTCCACGCTTGCCAAGCCTCGGCAAACGTCTTCAAGCCCCAAGCGTCCACAAATCTCGTTTGGCGTTTGGAAGTTGTTTACATGCTTGTGAATGCGTCAGTGTGCTACGTATATCCAAGCATGGCGGACACCGAACTTGTGTCGGCTATTGCGTTTGGTTTAACATACTTTTATTTGAAATATAAAAACAAGGAATTTTTTGGCTTTTAATTCTTTTACTGGCTTTTCCGTTAACTCGGCAAGACGACTCCAAGCATTTGAAACTTTCTAGAACAAAGAATTAAACATGCGCTGGTCGCGAAATCACAATGGTTACTAAACGCGCACCAACGTGTGAATGCGTTGCAAGCGCTTGCCGCAAGCGCCCTTTGATCTGTGTCCAAAAACCGACACTAGCCCGGATCGGGGACAAGCGTCCACAAGCTCACGCAAGCCAAGCCAAACGCCCTCTTTACACACTTGTGCTTGTGGATGCTTGCCGAGACTTGGCAAGCGTGGAAACCCGGCATAAGAAGTTTTCACTTCTGATGTGCAGTCACAGAACACTATATACCTTTAGGTATTATAGTGTTAGTAGTGTCGCAGAATAAATAATAGTACTACGGTTGTGTAGTGCCTCCTTTAGGCGGGAAGAATGTCAACTTCAAACAAAGAAAATGGCACCCATAATACACGCCATCTCTGTCGTGCCACCTAAAACTTTTTTGCGCGGGAATTTTGAAACGTGTTTTTTCGTAGTAGGCGTCTTGGTTGTTTCGTTTCAAAAATGCCTTAAGAATGTAAAATACCATATAGATAGATATAGCTTGTGGTTTTTCGTTTCAATGATATATATTGCTAAATTAAAACGAAAACAAAAGCACAAAGTTGTTATTTGTAAATTATGGTACTTTACATTCATAAACTACTTTTGAAACTATTAGCAATCATTTTAATATAAAAAAGGAACTGTATTTCAAGTCAATGTGAAAAAAGTGGTCTTTGAAATAACATAATTTTTATTTACATTACATACTGTCCACATTGGTACATAGAAAAACCGTTGGCACATTGATGGTCGTAATAAGTGACGGAGTAATTAACTAATTTTTAACTTTATGCATGTAAACACTTCTCAACAGCTCTTAACTAAATATCGATTTAGTAGTTAAGTAGTTATGTAACATGACATTTAAGCAAAATGGAAAGTAATTAAAATATAAAGAATATTGGTTTTATATAAAAAAGATTAGACAATATAATATAAACATTTTTTTCTGACAAGAAAACATTATTTACCTTCACATTTTATAAACAAGGCAATAGCTTTGCAATATTATGTCTAACTCCAATAACCTGATTATATTATAGATGCCACCAATAATATTACTGATTTGTAGAAATTATTTTCGTTATTTGTTATTGACTGTATTAACAAATAAGTCAACTTTTCATGTCATTAATTAGCACTACCTTAAGTTTAATTTCTTTAGCCCTGTTGCGGTGTAAGTATGGTCCTAAAATTAAAACCAGTTTTACCAGAGACTGACCAAACGCAAATAAATATATCTTACACAACAAAATGATACTAAATCACAAATGAAAAATATGGAAATATCAAATGTTTATTGTGTCAGTTTCCAAAAAAAATTATTTAATTTTAACCTATGCAAAATTTAACATGTTAAACACATCCTAAGACACCCTATTTAGAATATTGACACCCTATTTAAAATTGAGTCTCTGTCTCTTTAGCACAATGCACAGCATTTGTTTTTGAGTTTCTGTCTTACTGTAAACACTAAAACGGAGGAACGGGATGTTAAACTCAACGTTAATAATATAAGAAATAAGTTTATATCAAAATATAAACTTAATTTACAACACAAATAAACGGGAACACAACCGCAAGCGTAAGGGATCAGCCATTTGTGATTTTCTTTATTTGCTATTGCCATAACTTGCTGTTTTATTATACTATGCAGTTTCATATTCATAAATTTTGTTACTTCAATCAAAACGTAATAGATATATGTTTAACGAAAATATTATATAATTAAGTATTATAATGATAACAAAAAGTGCGAGGGAGATGAATATTATTCCATTTAGCTTCCTTATATCCCCCCAAGGTCATCCCCCGGTACCAATCTACTATTAGGAAGTTGACACGGCCTGCGTGCAGTCCTACGACTGACAATTTTTTTTTAATTTTGATCACAGCATGCCAGTCGAAAGTCCATTAAAAGTTTTTACTTGGTATAGATATCATTCTATGGATTCTATATCTAAAGAAATTGAAGTCTATAATATCCATATTAATATATAATTAAATTTCTATCCATAGATATCATTCTAAAGTGTCCTTCAATTTAATTGTAACTTTCCCTTTCGAACTAATAGAAGTCCACTACAAAAGCTAAACTGTTTACATTTTATGCAACTAAAAGCATGTTTTATTATTTCAGAAACAGCATCAATTGCAACTACTACAAAACCCCGTGATTCTTTCCACTCTAAGGCCAAGCCAATTGAGTGCCATAGTCTGTCCGTTACGGAGAAACGTTTCGCTGACGACATTCGCTCTGTGGAGACCAGTAATGACAAGATGAAGGAACTCAACGCAGACTTGGATACTGTTTTGGACAGACTGCAGCAGATATTGACTAATAATTTCGCAATGGACGGTAAGTACATGAAGTAATTTTTTGAATTATCACCTTTAAAACATTTGAAACTATACCTAAGTACTAAATTTACTGGTTAGTAGTTTTTTTTTCATTTTATTAAATTGATCCATTAATAACGCTAGTAATTTTAAGTAGTCTTACCTAGTAACTGGGCAAATTAGAGCGTTACAAATTCATTATTACTCAACCGTGTAGTGGCGGGGTCAGAATACCCAGTTACCCACCAACCCATGTCGTCCCGTAGGTGTCGTAAGAGGCGACAGAAGAAAACTAAAACAGGAGATGGGTAACAAAATCTTCCTGATAACAGCAGAATTAAAAAAAAACTGAGTGGCAACTATGGCAAAATCCATATGAGGCAATCTATGGAGGTGGCCTATGTTCAGCAGTGGACTTTTAAAGGTTGTATAGATAAATATATAGATAGATAGCCACATATCAACATAAACAAATAAAGTAATACATAGAGTAGGGTGCACTTGATTTGAAATTCCTTATTTTTAATCGTATTTTTATATTTTTCACATAGAAAACACTTAAAGATGTCTATGCCATAGGCTTCTACTTCGTTCACCTTTTGCATGCTATTGTTTTCCTCACGGTAAATAAAAATCAGCTGGTATATACATAATTAACTTTGAAAGAGATCAAACAATTCTCAGATGTATCTCATGTGACGCCCTCTATTTGTAGATTCATGTTTCGACAACACGCAACTGCGTGAAACTGCCAACGAGATGGAAGGCTTGTTGGGCACTTTGATACGCGGTGTGGAACAGAGAGCCACGCTCAATGCTGCTAAAGGACTAGTGTAGATAAGAAGTATATAAATGATCTGGTACTTAGTACTTACTTTATTGACTTAAAATCTATTATAAATATATGCATATATATGAATATAAGGACATAGTATAATATAATGTTAAATGGTAGGATATATTCTAGAGTGTGTACAGGAATTAGATGATTTAACTCCTCCCCTCACTTTCCACTATCGAACAACCAGACGGTTGGCGAATCTCCACCCTTTTGTCACAATCCAACTACCACTAACAGTTGGTCATCGAAGGCGTCTAGACGGGGCAATCGTGCGGTGCGGTGCGGCCCGAGCTGTTCGCTAGGGTTGTCCTGTCACGCAAATAAATTAAAATGCTTCACACTAATATGTGCGGTAAAAAACTTTGGGTCGTCCTCATTTAAAGATAAAGAATTAAAGTTTCATCAGTTTCCACAAACACAGGGATTTGATTAAGCGTGAAATAAAATAAAATCAGTTTTTTATCACTTCTCGTTCTGACAACCATACCAATTTATTGTTTATGTCGGCTTCCGACAACACCAAACACCATAACTGACTGTATGTTCTTCTTAGGCTGTACGCATTTTAATCAAACGGTTTGTTTCGTTGTTAATGCATACAAAGGGGTGGAACAGTTTGCTATCATCTGTATTTCCGTCCGATTACAGTGTAAGTGCTGATGAAGTAGTTTTAAGTGACATTTATAAGAATGTTGTAAACATTTACAATAGTACAAATAAATAATACTCTTCTTCCTTTTTATGGCTTCTCTTGATATAAATAATACTCATGTAAAGACTACAAAATGAAATAGCACCCGTTGTCAGTTGTCAGCTGTCAGCTGGCAGCAAGATTTTGTTAAAACCTAGAATCGGTTTTAATGAAAACTTAATTAGGTGCTGATTATGTAATTAAATTGTCTAGTAAAATGGTTTTGCAAAAGTTTATGAATTTATACTTTAGACTTTTAGTCGTAATTCCTTCAACTTGTGTGATAATGTATTGGTAACTATATCAATATTACAGGAAAATCTCAACTAAGTAATATCACTCTATGATCTCAGTTTTCAGGTACTGGTTACTTTCACAGCCATTAGTAACTTTATATTAGTGATCAAATTTTATAGACTCTTTCATGGTTGTGTTAGAATAGGTTTTATTTTAAATCGGCATGTGTCAACAAATTATTTCTCATGAATTGCGAAATTGATTTACTGTTATTCAATATTGACTTTGTATTATAATAATTAAATTCTTTTGAAAACTTTAAAAGATTAAATTATACTTTACTGTTTTTACTTTATACTTTACAATTTTCCACGTTACATCCCACTTCTCGTTCGTTTTTTCCTCTAAGTTCACTCTATTTCGTCTAAGTACATCCACTATGTGTACCGCTACAGTTTAGTTAATGTATATTATTTTAGGAAAATTTTAACACTCATATTTTCTATTTTCATTTGTGTTGAATGTCTCTCGATATGAGACATTTTCTTACTCTGAGATAAGAAATGTGGTTTCCCGCCCTAAGGAAAATTATTTGGCCATTATTTGGGATAAATATAATGGAAGTGTCTGTTTGTAATGTCATAATAACAGATTTTACTAAATGCATATGACTTTCATATATCATATAAGTACATATACGGTACTAATGACAAAAAAAAAATATTAAAATTTTGTCTGCCTATCTGTTTGTTTATCCCGGCTAATCTCCGAAACTAATCTCCGAAATGGCTGTGCCGATTTTGATGGGACTCTCACTGGCGACAGATATTATAAGCAGTAATTTAGGCTACTTTAATTTTAGAAAAAGAATTAGGGTTCCGCACAAAAAAAAAAACATGAAATTCAATCGTAATAAATACCACGCGGACGAAGTTGCGGGGAACAGCTAGTAGATTAATATATTTTACACAAGAAAATTGACAATTTCTAGATGTTATGTACTCAATTCATATTTTAAATACGTTGCAACTTTTATAGCTAGGTAAATATTGTGTTGTGTGATGCCACTTTTTTATTATAAGAGTGGAAAAAGGCCAAGAGAGTACTTATGAGTACATTTTAACATAGTAGCCATGTTTAGTTGTGGTTGCAACACAAATTGCTTGGCGTAATTAGGGCAGGACTACACACACAGAATGCCACCGTAAAGTAGCAACTTAATACTGCTGTGTTTCGTATAGTGAGTGTAGAAAACCGGAGACCCTTTTTAATGGAAATGAGGCATTCCGTCTTGGTCCTCAGGGGTGATATTTTGATTCTCAATCAAGAATATATAATACTGCATATTTTGAATTTATTTCTCCCTGTTTAAGCTGAGCTTCTATACGTGGTAGAGCCACACTGCAGCTATATTGTAGTTGTAGCACGAATGGGTCGGCTCGGCCGGAGTATGACCACGCTCTCGCAGAACACCTGCGTAAAATAGCAGCTTAATGCTGTTGCGTTTCATATGGTGAGTGTAGAGAACCGGAGACCCTTTTTACTGGAAACAAAGCATTCCATCTTAGTCCTCACGGGTGACGACGCATCTGCATTTTGATTCTTAATCGAGGGTAAATGTAGATGTCTATGCGCCACAGCATCCATTAACCATCAGGTGGACTGTGTGCTCTCTTGTCACTATTATTTAAAAAAAAACATGACGGTAAATGGCTACTGTAGTCCATGGACCTGCAACCAACTTTATACAACAAAGGCCATATGTGTTGTCACCCTTGAGGACTAAGATGAAATTTCTCCCAACTTGTAACTATACTTCCCTTTCAAACTGGAACACAGCAGGGGTAGATTGCTGCTTGGCAGCTTAAATAGATAAGGGGGCGATATAAACTCAGATGGACTCCTGTAGGGTCAACCAAGAATTTCTACAATCGTATCGAGCTAATAGAAATAATTAAAATTAATGAAATTACCGGTGACTTACATGACTGTCATGTGACTTAGCGTTTGAGATGTGTTATTCTCATTTATTTTTTTAGTTTTCCATAAAGCTTTATCAAATGTGAAACTTTGCTAACCCCACTGGAGAGAAAAGGTGCCTAGTTAAGTTCATGTTAAATACCACGGTTGTGATGCAAGGTGACAATAAATATCAGAAAAAATATTTAATTGTTCTTGTTATCAGTTGCATGTAATATTTTTGGTGTTTATTGTGTACGTTAATATACAGGGTTATTTTGTAATAACCGTCCAATGTTTAGAATAAGTAATATAGACAAATAGTGAATAAAACTTAATTAAAAAATCTCAAACATTCTGCCTTTTTTATCTTTTAAATTAAAAATGCGTGGTAATTCATTATTTTAAGTGATTTTACTGCACACGCACACATTCATAAGGGTTGATCGGTAGGCAAAAACATTTTTGCCCATGAATCACATTTAATTTGGGATAATTTCAAATAAATTAAGAAGCCTTATTTACTCGTATTTTCAAAAACTGCAATAACGGTATATCATTATTTATATATTTGAACTTAACTTTAAAATTTGGCTACTCTAAAAAAATAGTTCCTATAATGTTGATGATATATCTCCTGTACGTTACCGTACCTGTTGCTTTTTGTAGAATTGACGACTTGTACACGATAATAATATGTTAACTATTTGTTGTGAATTTTTGTGTGTATCGATTAGAATGTCGCGACTGCGACTGGAACAGTGTCATTCTTTTAGTGTTGTTAAAGGATATAAGGAAATTTATGCCGTCCCATATGACAAGGTGCTTAGTAAAATTTATTCTGATAAGAAAATAAACAATAAGTATTTAGAAAGTAACATGCCATATATTTTATAAAAATTTACATATTGCGGTGTATATTAAGTTAAACATAATGATTATAAATTAATATTAAGTTTAAATTGTTATGATAATCGTGTCTAATAATAACATTAATAAATCGCCATATTTCATTTTCATATCTATATAAAAATGTAAAAAAGTATATGAAATAAAGCAATTTATTTTGACCTTTTATGTTGTAAGCGTATATAAAAGTGTCTTAGGTTAATATTATTTTATATACCAACGAAAATATAGTATGTGAGACTATAACTAAATTTTAGACAAAATTAATATTTTTACAATATCAGTGTATATTAAAATATAAAATCTTAGCGATATAAGCAATTACATTGCTCTAGCACAACCTCTGTACTTAAAGTAAAATGTTATCTAAATAAAAATATAATAATATAACCAGTTATTTTAATTAACAATAAATGTCAATAGTAATACATTTTATTAGATTATTTTCTTAATAAATGAAATAATATCAGTGGACGGATTTTATTTCTATAATATATTAATAACTATTATCTACATTTGGATATAAATTTTCATATAAAAAGTAAACTAATATTAAACTCTACATATTTCATATTTTCACTTAGTAGTGTTATAAGTGTATTAAATTTTTTAATGAAACAGTTGAAAGATATATTTGGTAAGTATACAGAGGATCCATGGAGCAACAACTTTTATATTATTAATATTATTTTTTATATTTAAATATTACGTAGTATGTATTTATAAATAACAGTAGTGTAATGTATTGCATTTCGTTGCATATTCGTGGATTAAATCCCGTAGATTCATGGATTAAGGACCGTATAAAAAATTCAAAATAGTTAAAAATATTACTTAATATTCATAGTCCCAAAGGACATTATGAAATGGATTTTCTTATCAAAAATTTTATATAATATTATAAGGAATTCGGTTATGTAATAATGACTATACGAATTTAATGGGAAATATTAATTTAAATTTAACCAACTTGGCGATGTAATGGCAGTGCTAAATTATTTATTTTTTCTCAAATGTGGACTTTTTTCTGTGAACAGAGAAAATTAAAAGGGAGAGACAATTTTGAATAAGACCATTCTTAGCATGTTAACATGTAATAAAAGTCGACACGAGTTATGAGTGTGCGCGCTGGACAATTGTGTTGGGGTTCGTTAGAGCAGATAATTTTTTTAGACACGATTGTTTACTTCGAACCTGTAT